TTGCTATTGCTTTTGCTATTGTTGCTTTTGATATTGCTAGTGCTACTAGCAGTAGTAATTATATTACTAATACTGCTGCTACTGATATCTATTAGTATGTGCAAATTTGAATCATTCATATCAAAAAGCTCAACAGAATCCAACTTGGGTATATCGGGTTCCCCTGGGGCCTTCATCTTCAGTTTCAATCTTCACTTTGATGCTATTGTGGTGGCAATGGAGGAGGATGCAGATTAGGGGTTCCGTTGTAGAGGGTGGTGGTGGTGCTGCTGATTATTGATTATTGATTGCTGCTTGTTGTTGCTGCTTGCAAGGGTATTGTTTTCCTTTTGTGCTTCTTGCATGTTGCTTCTTGCTGTGTTACTTGACGATGCTGAGTTGTGGTGGGACGACTGATTTTGCAGACGAGGAGGAAGGAAAGTAGTTTTTTTTGGCTTTGTAGGAACAAGAATTATTTTCAAATTGGGCTAAGGAAGAATCCACACGAATTGCTGGTGTTCTCAGATCTGAAAAGGATCAATAACCTCTACGCACGAACAAGTACAAAATATATAGATTAGGGGTCAGGTTTTTATTGAACACTGATTCCTACTACTAATACAGTGCCTTCGACTTCCAATGCCAGTGAAGCAGACTTACCGTGGTACTGTACCCAGGGGTCATACCCCTGACTGTACCCAAGTACGGTACGGGTACCCCATTTTTGCAACCGATATGCTTTGCAGATGCGGCATTTTTTGTTGTCGAATTTTTCGAAGAAAACTTGCTCGAATCAAACAATCATCAATTCCATGAATCGAATGTGGAAGAGACCGGGAAACGAGAGACACTACGAATACCAACAATAACACTAATACAGAGTGACACCAAAGCAAAAAGGAACAAAGAGAAGCAAAGCGAACCGCCACACGGGCGTTCCGAACCGACACCAAGCCGATCGATCGCGCCGTACGAGGCTTGGAGACATTTCTTCCGGACGGGAACGACAACAACAACAACAACAACCACACCGGGAACAACAACGTTCGTTGGATTATTGATTGGAAGAACTCCGTTCCGTTCGTTTCATTCCATCCATCCCATCCATCCCGCCAATCAAAACCAAGCAACGCACGAACCAAGAATTTCAAACGAGTAACAGACACCTGGTTCGGGTTTGGAAAAACAAGCATTGCTAATCATTTCGCAGGCAGCGCCCGAAGCAAACCGAGGAATCAAACTCCAAGGACTACTGGTACTCGTGCCGTTCTCTCCTTTCGACGAAAGCCTTCCATTAAACCACACAGAACAACACAGAACCGAACCGAACCAAACCAAACMAAAAAAGACGAAACGAAACGAAACGAACCACAATTCCACCATGGAGGGATTGCCAACCGAACCACCTCCCGAAACCGGAAAAGGCGACAGCGGCCGGCGGGAGGTGGCCCGAGACGGGCAAGAGCCACCATCCCAACCGCGCAAGGCCTCCAAACCGGCCCCGCCGGCGTTTTGGCCGCTCCTTGCGCTGGAGCCCCTCTTGTCCCGCTGGAAGGAGCGGGCGGTTTCGTGGACGGAGGCCTTTGCGTCCGGCCCCCGGAACGACCTAATCGGGATCCTGGCCGACCGGGCTCTGGAGGCCGCAGGGCACCACCTGGATCCGGAGGGGCCGGTGGTCCGCGGTCTCCTGGAGCGGTTCCTCCCCGGCGGCCTGGAACCGGGGGGGGACAAGGGTGGTGACAATGACAAGCACAAGGACAAGCACAAGGACAAGCACAAGGACAGGCAACGGGAACGCAGGGAATCCCCCGCCAAGCAGGACCTGCTGCAAAAGTTTCCCTTTTACGGGCAGGCACTCGATGCGGTGAAATACCAGCGCGACAGCTACTTGATGGGCCCGGACTACGCCAACCGCAAGCTCCAACAGCAGGAGCAGGAGCTGCGGCAGCACCCAAAAGATCCACGGGAACCACCAGAACCACCATGGCGAGAACCACAACAGCTGCGCGAGCACCAACCACCGCCGAAGCGCCTGCTCCCCCTCCGGTTCGGAGGCGCCACCGCACCGGGCACCACCGGCGGGCTCCCGCTCCCCCCCCTGGGGGGAAGCACCGGCACCTCCACCGCCTACCCCCTGCTGGTGGACACCGGGGGCCGCTTCCTGGAATCCCGCGGCGCCAGGGACCGCCTGCTCCCGATCGTGGTCAGCCTCCCGTCGACCGAGCCGCTGGGGTCGGCCATTTGTTCGACGGTCTCGAACGCGATCCCACTGGCCGCTCCCCCCCTCGACGAAGCCGTCAAGCAGGCGGTCCTGGGCGTCATGGGGGACCCCTTCACCCGGGAGCTCATCAAGAGCCGGACGCAGCAGATCCTCCGGGTCGACGACGACGAGCGCTGATCTTCGCAAGCGCACGGGCCGGTGGAAGCCGACGAACCCGATCCGGGGCAAAATCCCGACACGAGAACAACGAATGCCTTCCTCTTGGAGTGGACGACCCTTCCGAAACGGACGGACGGGCGACAGGAGCAATCGATGCCAATGCCAACATCGAAGAAAGAAAACGAACGAAAACGCCGCAACGCCGTGGTTCGGCTTGGTTCTTTCCCGACGGGATCGAATCGAATCGACTCGACTCCACTCGAATCGACTGGAATCCATCCGGAATTGATCCCACGGAGCAGCGCAAGAATATGGTCGGCAATCGATGAGGGCGTAGTTCGTACAGATCGTGTTGTGCCTGGGAAACAAAACAAACGATGTTGCTTCGCAGGCTGCGAAGTCCCTCATCAAAGAATGCTGCCGTGATAGATTCTACGTGAGAGGAAGCAACAATTTTATGGCTCTCCTCCAAACAACCTATGTAATGTCATGTAAAGCTTTTTTGATTCTACTGTGCGCAAATGCTTATTCCGGATAGCGTCGGTTACGTAGCTGCCGATGGAACTCTGCATGGTTGGGAGCTTGCTAGCTAGCTTAGGTTCGGTTGTTCCCGGTCGATGGAGAGAGCTCTGCCCATCTTTTCCTCTCAGTGCCATCTATTTGGAGAAGAACGATTTCTTTTCGAGTCCTCCCGAGGCCGAGAGTTCCTTTTCCTCTTCCATCCACCGGGTCGTGTCTTCGACACATTCGTAGATTTCGTCTACGAGTTCGTCGAGGGGAAGGATGCTGAAGGGTTCTTCGAGCGAAACAGCAATCTCTTCGATACCAAAGAACAAGAAACAAATGAGGGTCTGAGCAGGAATCATCATGATGTGGTTCCACGAGGTTTTAAACACGTCGTAAAAGGCAAACGGCATAAAGGTCATCCAAAACGTCAGGAACTTCAGGGTCCATCGTGTGTAGAGGAGGGGGATCGGCGTGGAGTACAATCCCTCGCACTCGGAGCAGGACGCGGCGACACCGTTGAAGGTATTGATCAGAGCGCGCCTGTCCAACAGGACGGTCTCTTGCGAAAATTCGTGGATCGCGGAATGGACATCGAATTTCGCCCGGTGGAGCTTGTTTCGCGCACCCAACAATTTGTCGGCTTCCTCTTCGTTCGTGATGACACGGCGAATGTCCTTTTCGTATTTTTTCTTTCCGTCGTAGTCGCCCTGTTTTGTGTTATGTGTTCCATCCGTCGACCAGATCACATTAAATTCAATAAAGCAAGCGAGAGAACGGAATGCGATCTATGAGCTGATGATTTGCGCATGAGCGCGTATGCGTGTGGGAACGATTTTTTTTCCCCTTTTGTTGTGGTTGTCATACGTACCAGCACCTCGTGTTGAAGCGTTCGCATCAGTGCCCAACACCTGATTCCCATCTTGCGAACTTCTTCAACGCTTTCCGAAGCTTTCGAAGCCTCCAGCAGCATGTTCGAAATCGACGAGATGGCGGATTCCCACTCGTGGAGCGCCGATCGGTACCGAGAGAAGCATACATCGTTCCGGAAAACCAAGAGAAGACCCAGGGGCCCACCGCAAAGGAAAAATGGCTCTGTGGGAAGGGACAATTTGAAGTGAAGAAAGCTCGGAACCGAATTGGCCAGGATGGGATCGTGCTGAACCTCGTTGAAATCAGTAAATCCCTCAATCAATAGTCCGTTCCAGACAATGATGCCGGTACAGATGGCCGCGAGAACAAAGGCTTCGTCGAGCAGGTTTTTCAAGACGGGGCTCTTGTCGTACTCGATGAGCGAGCTGTAAAATCTGTCGGAACTTCGGTGCTGTAGCCACTCGGCGTGTCCGAATTTCTCGTACTGGCCGTTTATTCTTGCCTTTTCCAGGTCGGTTTCCATGAGAGCGACAACGTCGATGTCGGCGTCGCTCATCGAGGATCGAAGGTGTTGCAGTCCTGATCGGGGCACCGCCGCCACGGAAGTGGGCGAAAAGGAGGTCACTCCATTTATCAGCAAATTGAGTAGCAAGATGACAGATATTGTATTCATGGTGCACCTGTTTCGGGAAATGTCAAAAAGGAGTAATTGTGCAACAGAGAGACAAAACTGAATAGTTTTGTGCCCTTTTTTGCTACATACAGGTGGGGGTGGGTTTTTGTTTTGTTGAGGAAGAATCCACAAGATCTGAAAGGGGCAAGTACTGGAATGCTACCGGTACGTAGTAGGTCATCGTAAGGCAAAGTAACTATTAGTACTAGAACCGCGAAAGGTAGGATTCGGTACTCGTAGAATTGCATTTACCCGTAGTTCACAAAATAACAGTACTGAACAACAGTACGGTACTTGTAGTTTTTCCCTAAATACGAGTACTCGTACCAGTACGACGAACTCGTGAGGAGGTACGAATCAATGTAATTCGAATTCGAATTTTGTGTCGGAGAATTGCACGTACGGTACGACGTAGGGTACGTACGTCACTCCCATTCGTTCAAAGTCATCGCAAGCAGAACATTGGAATACGTACGTTTTTACTTATCTCCTTCGATTTTTCTCTCAATTATTTTTCAGTATATTATTGCCTTCTGAAAAGAGATTTTCTGATTCCGTACGTAGTAAGCATGGCATAGGTCTCTGGAACAACGGAATGATACACGCCACGTACGCTATGATACTCATTACTGTATTAATTGTATTACTGTATATACAAAGTACCTATCGTACTTCGAAGTATTGTACGGTACGTACGAACTACTGTAACTATTTCTTGTGCTGCGTATTCTCGAAGCTCAGAATTAGGTCTATTGCGGTTCACTGCAAGTGGAAGTCGAAATATGTAATCTTGTCACTAAAATACAGTAAGGGGCGAACCGGATTTTTTGTGATTTAACCTCCTCAGACTCCCTTTTCCATCGACAATTCCAGTCGACAAAAACTATTCTAGTATTTTCTTCTTTTCGACTTCCATGATTGGTCCCGAGGGAGCTCACGTCGAATTAGTAGTAGTACATAGCGTTCTATTTCTAGTAACCGGTACGAACCGTACGGCACGGGGTTTACATTTTTGAAGACTGAAAAGTCACGAGTCCATTCACGTTGCTGACCCCTACCATTCACCCACTACTATTCTCAGTTCTTGATGCAATCGTACCGTACGGTACATACGAACCGTACATTGGCGTTTGGTGCCTTCAACTCCTTTTCTCATTTCATTCCGGATTCTGCTCTGCTTTCGAAGGCAAGTTGATTTACTGTATCATTTATTTCTCATAGTGTGTTTCATCAAATTACAGGTTGTCCAACATTTTAGACAGTGGCTCAAAGTTGTTGCAGAACTAGAAACGATAATCATAGAGACCCATGGTATAACTATAGTTACTTATACGATTCTACCAACCAACCGTCCCCGCATGCCGCCAAACGAGTACACGGGTTTGAATAAACTCGTTTCACTTATCTGTCGTGTTTGTACCTGCCTCTGGTGTGTTTGCATGGGCTAACGAATCGGATGTGCGTGTTCCGTCGGCATACGAGTCGTAGGAAAGCAATTCCCGTCAATCGGCGAATCTCCTGCCAAACACTCACACCACGCGATTCGTTCGGCGGTCTTGTATGAATGGTTCATAAGTCGTTGTGGCGTGTTTCCCGTCTGCTACCTACTACCCATCTACGGACTGCTCCATTCCATTCAAGGGAAAAAGTTCGCACCGCGGTAAAAACAAAATCGAAATCGACAGGAACGACTTTGGGTTGCAACCTCGTGATTTCTGTAGCATGGAGTCGTTTCGTTGTCGACGCACATTCATTGAATCGAACCCTTTCATGCCCCCAAAGCTAGCAAATTTTGTCTGCGTCGAGTCGCTGCTCAGGTTCGTCATTCTGTTGTTCTTTCAAGGATGGTTCGGATAATAATCTCGACCTGCGTAGTCTGTGTCTCGCGTAGTTGTTACGCCAAATGGGTCTTGACCAACCAGAAAACCGACCACAATACACACGATAGAATCCTCCATCAATTCAGTACTACGGGCGATGCCCCGTACAAAGTATCATTACAAAAACAATATTCCAGCTATTCCACTGCTGCTGCGACGAATGCGCCCGCATGCCCTCGACTGTTTCTTTTGTTTCACAAAAAATCGTGGTGCTACAGGGCGTCCAAGAAAACCGGACGCCCACCCCGAAAATCGTGGATCGTCGCGTCGTGGATGTTGAGGACGGTGGGGCTTTTTGTTTTTCAGACCTCGGGTGTCTCTCCCGCCGCGAGGATGCTTCATCGAGTGTGTGTTCGATTCCGTATTATTCCGTGGAGGACGATTCGTATCACTTGGATGCCCGTGGCTATCCGTTCCGATGTCGTCGTGCCCCAACCAACGATTGTCTGCCTCTTGGAGAAAGTTCTAGAAGGCTTGTTGCGGATCGGTCCTTGGCAATTCCTATCCAAAGTCAGACTCGGTTCCCCCCGGGTTCTCCTGGTGGTGTTTTGTCGGGAATGCCTTGTGCAGTACCACCGGTAGTACCGATGAAAGTGCTTCCTTTTGAACCTAGCTCGGTGGCAAGCTCGGTGCCCAGAATCAATACAATCCGAGCTCCATCACCGGCTCGATGCCAACATCGATTCCGAGACACCAGAGCTCGCAATGGGACGACCACGAACGCACTGTGAGGATTCCGTTCCTGCCACACTCCTCCCTGCTCCCGGAGTGGCAGGGACCCCGGATGATCCCCGTCTTTCCGCTGCTGCTGTTGCTGCTGCTTCCGCGAAGTGTCAGTCTTTCAGGCCCTTGTTGCACCACCGGACCGGCCCGCAGTCCAGGAGGCCGGTGGTGTGGTTCGGGGTCATCCCGGCAAACTCCATGTAGTCTTCCAGTGACCGGACCGATCCCCTCCCGTAGAATTCTGCCTCGGTCAGGACAAAGGCCTCGCCGTCGGAAGCGATCGCTTCCTCGGTCTCGTGCGGGTAGCCGCAGAGGTGCCGGATGCGCCGGATGGGGCGTCTCTGGAGCCAGTTGTTCTGGTATCCCCTCTTCGCGCTTTTGGGTTTTGCGCGGCAAACGAGAGCAAGCCAAGCCAAGCCAAGCCAAGCACCAAGCACCAGAAAGCGATAGAACGAGCAGCAAAAACACAAAGCACAAAAAGACGCGTCAGGAATGCTGTTTGGTGTTTGGCGCAGCTAGTAGCACGCACCGCAAGTACCGTACCGTACTGCACGGCACCGCACCGCACCGTACCATGCTTGGCTCTGCTGGACTTACTTGGCATTGACCGAGGAAAAAAACTTGGGGATCCCCATGGACCGGGTCCGGTAGTGGTGGATGACGAGGTTCTTGCGCGGCGCGTAGATGTTCCAGCCGTGGGTCCAGGCCCGGACCGCCAGGAGGATCTCCTCCCCCATAAAGGTCCAGGGCAGGTAGGGGTCGAAGGGGACCTCTCCCAGCAGCGAGGAATGGGCCACCAGCAGGCCGGCCCCCAGAAAGGGCGTCTGGGTCGGCCGTGTCTCGTTCCCAAAGTAGGCCTTGCCCTGGTGGACGTGCAGGATGGGGTTGGGCTCCCCCAGCGGCGTGGCGCAGTTGCAGAGGCGGCAGCCCGGGGACTCCACCACCGTTCCGTTGTTGACGCTTTCTCGGTCCAGCTTCATGCGCTTGGGGATGAACCGGATCTGCCCAAAGCCCGGTGGGTAGGTGCTGAGGATCGACTTTGGGTAGTTCTTGGTGAGCCTCAGCTCGTCGAGGTATTTCTGGTCCCAGTCCGACGCGAAGCGCAGGTGGGAGTCGATCTGCACGAAGAAGGTCTCCCCGCCGTAGAGCTTGGAGGCGTAGTAGCGGGCCATGGACGGTCCGAGGCTGTCGGACTCGTGGACGTAGAGGACGCGGACCTGTCCGTTTTTGCAGTAGGCCTCGTAGGCGGGCAGGCCGCAAAAGTCTGCAACCCCATTCGCATCGGGCGGGGCGGACAAGCGCTGCATCTTGGGCTTTCCAGTAGAAGTCGTTCCCACCTCCTTTGGTCCGGTCAGGCACGGGGTTCCGCTCGGGTCGATGTCGATGTCGATTTCGGTGTCCACGGTATTGTTGCTGCTGTTGCTGTTGCTGCTGTGGGTTTGGTTGCGGTGGCGGTACGAGATGGCCCCGAAGCAGTTCTGCACCACGACCCCCACAAAGAGCTTGTTGGGGTTCTTGGCGTGCCCAAAGGCCGAAACCAGCGTGTCCGTCAGGAGGTGCTCCCGGAAGGCCGCCACCGACAAGAAGATGGAGTCGTCGGAACGGACGGGAAAAATGGTGCCGTGGGTGTTGCTCGTGCTCGTGTTTGTGTTTGTGTTTGTCTTCCGGTGGTTGCTTTCGCTTGCGCCCGTCGTTGTGCCTTTCGTGGTTCGGTACCTGGCCTCGAAGGGCGCGAGGTGCTCTTTCACGGCCTCGTAGAAATCCCTCAGGGCCCTGTGGCCATCCCCCTTGGAAGACCGGCGCCTGTGGTTCCGGAGGTGGAGGTCTTTCAGGAACCGCTGCAGCAGCGCGGTGATCCCGGCCAGGCTCGGCGACCCGGCCAGTAGCCGTTCGATGGCGGCCTCCGGATCTGGCACCGACGCGAAGAGGGGCAGAATCGGAGCGGGCGTCAAGGCATCGTCGGCGGCGGCAGCATCGGCGGCAGCAGCAGAGTCGGGAGGACCGGCAGCAACAGCATCATCATCACCACCAGCAACAGCAGCACCGGCCGCCACCAAGACATCTCCGGCAGAGAGAGCGCCCTGTGCCGTGGTGTGCGTCCTCTGCTCCCGCTTGCCCCCGTAATCCAGCTGGGGCTTGCGCCCGCCCTGCACCCGAAAGGAAGATAGGGACGAGGCGAGCGAGGAGGACGCTCCTCCTCCCTCCTCTCCCGGAACGCCACGGACCCAGACCTCGGTTCCGGCCACCAGCAGCAGGGCCAGAACCACCATCGCGGACCAGACGACCGGCTCGCGAAAGGGGCCGGAACGGGTGCCCCTGGGTCCCAAAGAAGCCGCAGAAGCAGCAGCAAAGGCAGCCGATGACGACGATGGCGATGAGAATGGCGATGCCGGTGTTACAGCCGATCCCTCTGGCCCCGTTCTCTTTCCCCCGATTCCCATCATTCAAGGTGCTTTGGCTGTCCACCGAGGGAGCGGTATTGGCAGTTTCCGATAGCAGCAGCAGCAGCAGAAATGGCAACAACACGAATAGACTCTCGAAACGCCCGCTTCTGCCGGGGTTTCTGGAACAAGGATGGCCGGTCGAACCACACCAGACCACACCACACCGCACCAGACCTTATTCGAAGTTCCTTGCTGGTGGCGTTCCCGTCCTTCTGTCGTCGTCTCTGGGGTTGTCTCTGTCTTCTGTCTTCAATCGTTTGGCGTTTGGCGTTTGGCGTTTGGCGTTTGTCGGTTCCGGAACAGTTTCTGTTTCACCAATCTCGGTTTCCGAGATTCAACCGTTGCGGTGCGTGTTACGGTATGTTGTTGCGATGGTTTGCGATGCTGCTCTACGAGTACCAGTACCGTACGTACAATACATACAGTAATTACAGTACCGCGCCGTAGGGAAAAGGGACGGCTGGCTCGAGGGACCCGTTTCGATCCTTCGATGGACTCGACTCGATCCTTCGATGGACTCGACTCGACTCGATTGATTCAACACCTAGATACGACCGACGAAATACGAGGCACGATACGAAACCACGACCTGCCAAGGGTATGTGCCTAGTTCCTAGTACTAGTACTACTAGTAGTAGCGGCACGGCGTGCCCTTCTGCCTGTTTTGTCTATTCTAATTACCTAGTAGGATGGGTTGTGATGTTGCACCATGCCGGTGCTGCCAAGCCCACCAAAAGGGCTCACCAAAAGGACCCCCCGTCTTCGTCGATCGGGGGAGAGTCCGGGCACGGGAGGATGCTCGGCTTGTCCCGGTAGTGGCACCTCACGAGGGGCTCCGCCCGGCAGCACGAAAGAGGCGGGGGTTTGCCGCCGCCGACGCTTCCACCGGACTTGCCGAGGAGCTCCCCCGCCGGGGTGTTCCGGCACGACTCCTCCAGGTACCACTGTCCCATCTGCTGCATGTACCGGACCTTGTCCTCCTTGTTCTCCGTCCAGCACATGTGAAAGACGTACGGTTGCAGCTCCCCGGCCACAAAGGCCCTCATCTTGTCGTGGGCCTCGTGGTACCAGTAGCCCCCGGGGAATTCCTCCGACCGGCGGTTCCAGACCTTGACGCGCAGGCCGTACAGGCTCACGTGCTCGCTCAGCAGGGCCACCAGGGCGACCTGGTGGGAAAAGGTCGCCATGATCAGGTCCCCGGACATCAGGAGGGCGTTGAAAAAGGCCTGGGTCGCCTCGTTGTTCCGGGCGTAGTAGAACCCCGTGTTGGCGGCGTACGGGGCGTACACGAGGGTCCGGGAGCCGTCGTCCTGGAAGACCAGGTCGTAGCCGCTGCCGCCCTTGGTGTCGTCGTGGAACCACTGCGGGATTTTGCGGCGTGCACGAATGGCGTCGTCGGGTTACCAAGCACGGCAAAGACAAAGACAAAGACAAACAAAACGAATGAGCCTCGAATGGGAGTCCACGGGTGCACGACGCGCMGATGCGTTTCCGCATCGCATCGCATCGCATCAAATCCAGCCCAAAGCCACTTACCGACAGCGGGTCCTTGTACCAGACCACGTCCACGTCCTGGAACAACAAGTCGTGCCCGAGCATGGACACCATGTGGACGCAGTACACCTTTGCAAACATCAGCTTCCGGAAAATGTCGTCGCCGTATTCCTCCGCCGCCTTGCTGGGCATCCCTCCAAAGACCTTCTCGTCGTAGAAACTGGTCAGGCCGAGGACCTTTGTGGCCAGCTCGTGCGTCTCCTTGTCGGTCGAAAACAGCAAGATGTTCGAGAGCTCCTTGCCCAGCCCCCTGGCACGGGCGTTGCAAACGACTGGAAGTGTTGGGTGTGGTTCGGTTTGGTATGACATGTTTTGGAATGATATGTTTTGACGAAACGCAAAAGAGGCAAGGCAAGCGACGATTGAGTGAGTGTATAAAGTGTCACGTGGTGCAATGCGATGCGATGCGATGCGATGCAATGTGGTGTGAGTGATTGGGTGGGTAGGTGAGTTCAATACCAAGCCCGCAAGCGAAACAACGGTGCAATGCCAACACAAGCCAACGCAAGGTTCCTGCTACCTACAATTCATGAGCAGCTCCGATTGGCCAAAGTTGCACACCATGACGATCACCGTGTTGCGCCCGTTGTGGCTCGCAACGGACTCTGCCACCGGCCTGAGCTTCTCGAGCGTCTCCTCCAGCGACTGCAGGTACGGTACCAGGTTCCTCCAGTTCCTCTTGAGGTCGTCCTTGGAGGGGATGGCAATGGACCTCCCCCCGTCGTCCCTCATGTTGCGGTTCACCGGCCGCAGGGGCTGCGACGGGTCGATCAAAAACTTGCTCTTGTTCTTGGGGCTCGCGGGCTTCTCGGAGGCCCTCATTAGCTTGTGCAGGTGGAAGGACTCGTACTGTCCGACCAGCGCCACGCACTCCTTCCGCCGATCGAAATTCGTCAACACCACGTGCAGGTTGTTGCAGTTTTTGGTGGCGTCGTCGACCGACAGCAGGACCCCCCTTTTCTCGTTGGGTTCGCGCCCAAAGCCCCCCAGCTTTTTGCTGCCCTCGACGACGGCTTCCCTCTCCGGCAGGGCCGAGGTGTCCCCGTAGACGATGGCGACGCGGTCGTTGCTCTTTTGCTCCGACGTGTCAAAGGGAACGCCGAGGCTGTCGAACCGCGCGACAAACTCGTCCCGGTCCACGAACTCGGTCCGCGGCGAAAAGACGTGCGTGTTCTTGTCGGCTTCGAACCGCTCGAGGTAGGCCTGCCTCCGGGCCGAAACCCTGCGGCTCTCTTCGACGGTCTTCGGAGCGAGATCGCCGGGCCCGGATTCGGTCGATCCACCGCCATTCTTGGCGGCGGAGGCGAGGTTGTGGGCGATGCTCTGGGCGAGCTCGCGCTTGCTCTTGGCGCTCCTCAGCAGGGGGTCGCGGACCTCGCCCGTTTCGCCGGTCGCTGTTGCCCCGGGGCGGAGCTCCTTGCGGGCGGCCCCGACCACCGGGGCCCATTCGATGTGGTTGGGGGCCCGGTGGTGGTTCTCCCCCGGCTTGGCCCTGCTCGGTTCTTGACAGCCGCAGCTTGCGTCGGGTGTGGCAAGCCCGGGCCGCTCCATCTTCCATCCGATGTAGATCCCGGTGTAGAAGGAAAGGACCGACGAAAGGAAACACGCGAGGACCACCGTCAAGGACGAACACGGGGAGGCTTTTTTCCGGTGTTTCTGTTTCGGCGGCACTTTCGGCGGAACATGGCCCGAACCGCCCCCGTTGCCGACGCCGTTTCCGCTCGTGTGGTCCGCGTGTTTTTGCTTTCGCGAAGATATCATGGTTGCCAACAAAGACGACGACGACGACGACGACGACGACGACGACGGTGGGAAAAAGCGGAACGGTTCGCAGCGAAACGAAACGAAACGATGCGGCGTGAGAACCGCTATTGCAAGTTGATTTGACTCGGGGATGACTCGATGGGTTCACGAATGATGTTGTGTCTGTCTCGCTCCGATCGCCCTTGTTCCATTCATGCGACAAACACATACCGTTTGTTCTCGGGGGTTTCGACAGACAACCAAACAGGAACGGGAAAACTACGAGTACCGTGCGTAACGAATTTCTTACGGTAGGTACTCGTACCAGTTCGTACGATTACGAAATCACCATTACTGGTTCCAGGTGAGGTTTGATAGGCCAGGGGTCATGCGCTTGATAGGCCTCCGTTCTCCATTGACTACTAAGATAGTTATTCAACAGTTAATTTCGGCAGAGCGTGTCAGCCTTAACGGTCAACACTCAACGAGGACCATGGGTATCTGCTGCATCGTACGATCATACGGTATAGGCAACTGGTAGGGTGCGCCTCGAATCACATGAATCCCTACGGTAATCCCTACCGTACAGAAATACCGGAACGACTTTCGTCGGTATTTTTATCATTTTTCGCTTTGAACTAAGTACATACCTCCGTTCGTACATTACATGCCTACCCTACGGTACAATGGTATGCGATGCATACTGAACGCGTACGGCAGTAAGAAGTTCTTCTAGCTCGTACTTCTACTTGAAGAACTGTACGTACTCGTACTGCACATAAAGATTGACCCGAACCCGTAAACGTACGCGTTATTCTACAGAGCGGTATTCTTGCGAAGAAAGAGATGCCTTCAAGGCATATTCATAACTTCGGTACGATTCACAGCTGCCGCAGAGGAAAACCACCCTGCCGTTGCAAAACATTGAACAACAGCAACCAACAACAGCAGCACCAGCACCAGCACCACCGCCAACACCAACAACAACAACAACAACAACAACAACACAATGTCCTCCAACAATCCAGGAACCGCAGAAACTACCGGCGCGAGACCGATGACCAAGGAGGAGCAAGAACAGCTCTTCAGAGACGCGATGCTTGCGCTTTCCGCCCTTGCCGGAGCGGTCCTCTTCCTCAAGGCGCTCGCGGCGTCCATCACGGTCTACCTGGCCCTCCTTCCCCTCGCCTTTCTGTACGGCATCCAGACGTGTCCGCCCGCCTCGTCCTTCGACGCCAAGCAGCAGCTGCGGTCGGTCCTGAGGGGGGACTCGTTGCCTCCGGACCACCCGGACAATCCCGGACAGAAGACCGGCTTTCTGCAGCAGCTCTGGGCGGACACCAAGGCCACCCTCACCAGCGAGCTCGTCACCCTTCCGGGGTACGAGGTCACCATTGCGAGCCTCGCCGGGGCGGCCCTGCTGGCCAGGGTGACCATGCCGACGGCCGATCTGGAGTGCGTCTGGCTGGGGTGCAACCACCGGTGGTACTACTGGGGAGCGAGGAGCCTCAGCGAAAGCAACGGACCCGGGGCCGCCGTGGAGGGGGTCTCCGACAACAAGGTGGGCAACAACGTCTACAAAGCGCCGGAACACGTGGACCTCAAGATCGGGAATGCGAACTTTCGCCTAGATTTTGGAAAGGGAAAGCAAGACTGAGGACTCCCCGACGATGGCCTAGGGCGGTGCCAACTCGCGGGGACCCCGAGACCGGCAGGAGAGAATGGGCTTTTGGACGGGCAAAAGGGCCCAGCGAAACAAACTAAAACACGATGGGCTCGTGTTCTTGTTTCCAATTCGTTGTTCCCCGGGTTTCTCTTCTTTTTCTTCCTTCTTCGAGATAGTGAACCCGAATCGAATCGTCTCGAATCAACTATCAACTCGACGCAGTTTTCACTGATCCCGCGCTTGTGTCTAGAAGTGGAAAATACAATGCAGCTTTTAAATAGTCTTTGTGTCGATTTCGACCGGGAACTACTGTTATCCATGTTGTACCATATCCATATCCAGCGTTTAATTTATTTGGTGTTTGATCGTGTTCCAAAACCTTTATTCATATTACAGCAATGGCTTCCTTGGCTGAGACGGGAGAAGAGAGCTCCGCGTACATATCAGCTCGCAAATAAATTGTGCTACGCACACAAGCTTCGTCAAAACGAAGACAAAGAAACCGAATCCACTCACCGCACCGCACTGCACCGCAAAAACAACAGCACAGGACAACAACACAGGACAACAACACGTGTCCCGGCAGAAACAAGGAGCACGGCGATTGCCATGTGTGTGCCGATGGATGGTCTGTGTCGTGTTCCCCCGCATTTCCTCCCATTCGCTACAGAGCGAGGCACTGGGCTGCTCTACCAACAGCACAATCGCCCCGGCCTCCAACCCACCGATCTAGTCGAGAGCGGCAATGGCTCCCGCGACCGAGAGCGCCAAAGAGACGGCAGTGGCAACGCCTCCGCTGGCTTGCTTCGTCCGGGTGGCACCGGAGGAGGCCGGGGGTGCCGGGGGTTTGGCACCGTCCGCTACCGCGGGCAGAAAGACCGGGGACGACTGGTTGGCGCCGCCGAATGCGTGTCCTTCTTCCCCGCAAAACAAGTCGCCCATCTCGTCGCAGGTGCAAAAGTCCTCGTCCCGGGGATCGCTGCAAACCGCCACCGTGCCGTTCGTGCCGAGACACGCGCAGTTCTCCTCGAGCAGCAGGGCGTCGTCCCCCTGCCAAACGGTGCCGTTGCCCTCGTTGCCTTCTGCCGGAAGCAGTGGTCCCGGGCCTTCTTCCGCTTCGACCTCGAACGTAGTGTTGGCCGTGGAAGAAAGATCGGGAAGATTAGAAATCACAAGTTGCGGCGGGGACTCGGGAAGAACGATCGGGACGGGTCCCTCGTATTCGTCGTCGTCGTCCTTCTTGTCGTCTTTGTCCTCCTTGTCGTTCACCTCTGCACGGACTAGTCTGGATTCCGGGTTGCCAATTAATGCCAACAGAGCAACAATGACTGTGAGTAGAACAATAGATTTTTGTTGAATGAAGAGCATGGTTGATCCGAATTCCTATTGAAATTAGTTCTGGGCTCTGTCGTTGTTGGTGTGAGTTAGGTTGGGTTAGGTGATTTGAGAGTGAAAGAAAAAAATGGTCTTCAATATCTCGGTCGACCGTTACTAGTGTGGAGATAAAGAGACACTTCAAACTCATCTGTGTTTTCCAAACGGTGCGATGATGGAAGGTCGGTTGGACCATACTCATTGGAATAGTCATATTTTTGGTCCGCGTGCGAAATGCAACAAGATTGAACGCGTGGGGCTAACTCCCAGTGTCACTTACCATCGATACGAAAGAATCGATTGTTTAGTGGATGCACCGGGATAATTGGGTGCTCTATTCCAAAGACAGTACAGGGGAGGCATCTGACATGTCTAGTTGAAGCCAGGTGAAACGGAAAATGAAGGTCGTCACCTCATGATCAGAGTGACTATCAATCAACTCCCAATCGATATTATAAATCGGATTGTGTGTGTTAATTCTTAAGAAAATGTAACTGTATCGTGCTTCGAATAAAAAACAAAATCTTTTCTGTAGTATCGTGTTGGTGTTTATTCAGAATACTGCTCAATTTTGTGCCATGTACAGGCCGCGAACAGTACCATATCCGGCGTAATGCACGGTACTTCTGTACCGTACAGAGGTTAAAAATATTGTTTTCAGGTTTTTTGAGAGATTCACAAGACTACTACAGAATTTCATTAATTGACTCGTTCGATTGTATCTCTGAAGATCTTCTATTTTGAAAAAAAAAATTTACTAGACGGTGGGTGTACCTTAGATGTACATCAATAGTGTTCGTTCGGATGACTTTGCATACAAAGGCAGCTCCTTGCGATAGAAGTCCCGAACAACAGTGCTCCATAAAGCAATATTTGGAAACTAGAAATGACAAGTTGATCTGGACATCGAAATCACGTGAAATACCTGTGAAAGAATGGCTGTACCCCTTTGTTTGTTCACTCGGGTGATTGTCTCAGAAAATCCACCGATATTTGGCGAATCTCATTACTACTAAACATGGACTACATCCCTGCTGTATCCTCCGCGAGCAATGTTTCTACTAAACAAAGACTTCATCCTTACTATATCCTCCACGAGCAGACGTACACACAGATGCAAGCCAGTGGTGGGAACCTCCGATATGCTCTTAGGTTTTTCCTTTGCTTTTGCTAGTCGACAAATGCTTTTCCCGCAATAACTTGTGGTTCACTGTTACCCACCCGACAATTTTTTATGCACCACCTAGCAACACGATTGACCAGGAACCAGGTTATCGTAACAACGTGCAAGAACTTTTGGATCGTACGTATACGCTGTAGCAAAGATACAGAATTCTTGGTTGAAGCCACACAAAGGCTTTCTGGATCATGATCAAGAAAAAAGCTTTGACCGCTCCTCCCTCCTTCCGTTTATCTGAAGTCTTGTTGGGATCGTTACTTTCAGTGGTAATGGTGTGATAATAAAAAAGACTTTTTTTAATTTTCTTTAGTAACGTTGTGAACACATAATATTATGTCGTAATATCGACATAATTTCTCTATCGTTTTATCCATATATTTGGATAACACTCTATCACTTCTCAAATTCAACATTTTTGGATGTAAAGACGCCGTCAAATTTTCATCAGAACATGGGAGGAACAATCGAATTAACTATGAGTCGCAGCTCTTCAACTTGGCGTTGGAGGTGTTCAATTTTTTTCTGATAATATTCATCAGAATCTATATTGGAATCTGGTACTCCTCGCAGTGACCGCCGCCCGTTACCAAGCAACTTCCGAAGTTTATCGATGTTGGCCGCGTCAAGCGTGAACTCATCCCCGTCTCCAAATTTCAGAGTAAAAGAATTCGCTGCAACAAGGAATTGCCCCTCGCTACTAGATTCAACTTGATCAGGTGACAGATTGAAAACAGCGGAACGATTTGCTTTTGCGATGGCCTTAGCTCCACCAGCAATAGAATAATCACCCGCGGCTTCATTTGCTTCTCCACCAATGACAGTACCGTAACTTCCTACGACAATATTATCCTTGCCTCCCGCAATGGTTGCATATTCAGCAGATATTCCATTATCTTTTCCGCCTCCAATGGAAGATCCCCTTTTTTCCACAAAGTTGGTCTCACCTCCGCTGATGGATGAAAATTCACCGGCTACGACATTTTTGAAACCTCCCGAAACAGATGCATGTGGAAGCTCAGCAAAGTTGCCGCTACCACCCGAAATAGTTGTTCCTTGTCCCATTGCGACATTGTCATTGCCTCCAGAAACTGTGGCGTGCATAGTCAAGGCGGCATTTGATTCTCCGCCGGCAACGATGCCATAATGTTCCGCTACGAAGTTTTGGAAACCACCCCCGATGACACCGTATTCACCACTTAAAACATTCGTCGAACCACCTGCAATCGTTCCTCCTTTGCTCTCTAGAGTGATATCGTTTTTTGACCCACCCGCAATGCTGGCTCGAACTCCCAGAGCATAGTTATCCGTACCACCTGCAACGGTAGATTCTTTACCATCGGCAATATTACTCATACCCCCACCAACGTAAGATTTGTCGCCAACTGCTTGGTTTTTTGATCCACCAGAAACAGTCGACGTATATCCCTTCGCAGAATTCAATTTTCCTCCAGCAACGAGTGAATAGGCACCCCCGGCATCGTTTTTGATTCCACCTGATACGGTTGCTTCTTTGCCAAAAGCTGTATTCAAGTTATTATCATCGGCGAATACGGAATCGGTTACGCAGAGAGCGAATAGAGCGATCGTCAATATTCGTGTTTGTATCATTTTAATTGAATATTTTAACCACGTAGTTGAAATCATTCGAGGTATCGATGTGTGTGATCAATTCAAAAGAAATGAAAAATGTGAAGATAAATAATTCAGCGGTAATCTCTGCCAGCCGGGACCAAGTCAGGTCACAAAGATAGCTACTAAAAATAGCTGATGGCATTGAGGGCTACATCCAAATACAGTAATAATTCTTTAATAACTGATGGTATGATCAATTATTAAGGATTAAAATTAACAATTAACGATGGACAGACATGAAAATCTTTTGATGACAGCAACATTCGGCAAAATAAGACTCGTAGAAAATGAAGCGCGAACAAAACTATCGATAGCACATCGTGAGTCCCGTAAAGCAATCTTTGTTTTGTCAATTGGAACCATGTCGATTTTGGTGTTTTTGGGAAAACTTAAATTATTCGGTCCCCCTTTTTCATTTTATGATGGGTTTTGATCACCAAAAAAATGTGTTCTGTTTTTATCACATTTTTTCAACATATTAGAATTAATATGAACTATATGCAAACTTAAATATTTTTATTATGCAAACAAGGAATGGTCATACTACTACTAGTAGTACTAGTACTAGTAGCTAGTATAAGGCTACAAGAACTAGTACTACTAGTAGTACTACTGCATCACCTGCATCATTCTCAAAAAGGCATATTATGTACTTAGTACAGCAGGACTGGTGTACTAGTAGTTCAAATTTGTATAAAATAATAGCATTATGAAAGCCACCCAAACCAGTTGAAATTTGTGATCAAGATTGATAACAAAAAACTGATCACAAATTTGTTATTTCTGATCACATTTTTGTCATCAAAACCAATCACAATTTTTGATAGCACAAGAGGAGCCTGGGAATCTAGTTATTTTCACAAAAATTGAAATTGACGTGGTTCTTGGAATCATGTCAATTCCATTCTTTTTGGAAAATCTCAATTCCCAGGTCCCCCTTTTTTATTATGTGATGAATTTTGATCACAAAAATGTGATCAAGTCTGATCACAAAATTGCTAAATTTCTCAATTTCTTGATCACAATTTTTGTTTTAGGTTTTGAGCACATGAGCCTTTAATTATTAATATGATTTATGTCTTTATGAAATATGTTTGTTACAGGACTGGTGGTGCTGGTGGTGCTGGTCATGTGCACTACTACTAATATTACTACTAGTGTGTACTAGATAGCACTAGTATTAAGATATGAAAATTGAATAAAATTCTTGGACTACCAGGCTGATAAAAATTTGTGATCAACAAGATTGATCAAAATTTACCGATCACAGATTCGTTTCCTTATCAGCAGAAGTTTTTGTAAACAAAACCAGTCATAATTTTTAGCACCAGTACTAGGGGGACTGGGAATCAAATTTCTCCCCAAAAATACAAATCAACATGGGTCCTGAGTTCTGAATAAATAGTCATAGTTTTGTAAAGTATTGATATGGCTGTGATGTCGACAAATGTAACACATTCTCTGTCATCCTCTGTTTGTTACGTCAATGTGCCTAGCATTAGTAGTAGTCATAGTACTACTAGTAGAAGCATTATCTACTGTGCTTCCTACACTCCTCTTCTTACTTTATCAACATTTTCAGGTATTGTATCTCCAAACATATTACTAGAAGTAGAAGAAGAACAAGAACAAGAAGTTTCACACGGTTGCTGGTAGTAGTACAAAGAAGATTGAGAAAGTGTTCTAAACCTCTTCCAACTTTTACTCGTAAGAATAGACTAGTAGATTTCCTTTAGAAAAATTTATTGGCTACCTCTATGAAAATATGCCAAACAATTCAGAGGCATCCAACTTAAGAAAGTTTCTGTCGTCAAAGTCACCAGGATTTCATGGAACAATGAAGCATCAGCAGATAACAAGAATGCCTATTTCTTATTCCTTTCAACAAGGTTAGGAACTTCAATTGCTGTCTCCTTTCAAAGTTCTGCTTCCTTTGGACAGACTCTTTCTTTTTTTCATCAAAAACCATCMTGGTGTACTAAATTTGCAAAGAATCCTTTACATTTGATCATCAAACATGTTGTCCATCATTGTTGTCCCTAGTCTTCTTCTCTTTCATTCTCCTTACAGTACATCCTATGTTGCACCTAATCCCACCAGAACCTCATGCAAGGAAGCAACATCATGCTTCTGCTTCAATTTCTACTACTAGTAGGGAGGAAGCAAATATCTATTTCTCCTGTTCACCATTTACAAACTGATTTTTGACAGACAATGGTTGCAAATTGCCTGAGTTCTTTTTCACCAAAAATCACAATGGACCAAGGCCTTCAAAAGCAAGCAACCTTTTCACCATGATAAACAGAAAAGTCACCCATAATCATGTTAATTCAATGGTTCTGTGGTTCTGTGGGTTGAATCTGGTGTAAGATTCACCAAAATAGTAGTAAAACCAGTGCCATGAGAACATATCATGGAATTGCTCTTGAGCCACTTGTTGAGTTCTCTTACAAAGTTGATATATTGGAGACAAAGTTGATATATTGGAGACAAAGTTGATATATTGGAGGGGGGTTGGATGTGGTCCGGGTTCATGCAGTTGAATCATGTTAATTCACTGGTTCAATGGTTTGATGGTTCTGTGGTTCTTTGGGTTGAAACTGGTGTCAGATTGACCAAAATAGTAGTAAAACCAGTAACATGACAACACTCAACACCATCAAGTGGTGAGAGTCACCACAAAAGAGAAATGAAAGCACCTTCAAACAAGAACAAGGAATTTTGCTCCTAATGCTTCCACATTGGTATATCACCAAATACCAAGAGGAGAAAGCCAGAGAAGATGCTGACTAGTACTGTAAAGCACAGTATTAAAACCTGAAGGAGTCTGAAACAGATGATCTTATTTGATTTAATGGATTGATAGTAGTACCAGAATACTACTACTAACAGAGGATTGAGAGTACTAGTAATCATCCCTCAACAAGAATTTATAGTTGGAAAATGGAATAGGACACTGGAGAAAATAATTGGTAGTGCTAAACACTAAAAGAGAAGTGGGTCAAGGAGTTTTTTTGGGGCAAGTGATGAGAAAATAATGGAGTGATCAAATATTATTCTATTTTGGATCATGGTGGGGGGATATTTTCATTCATGAATCATGGAAACATTCTGCACCTGCCCTTCATTTTGCATGTACTTTTAGTAAAGAACCTTGTTGTTCTCAACTTTTAAATTGATGTCATTTGAGACCAAACCTCAAAACAATCCCAATTGAAATGTACTGATACTACATGAGTGTCATACTATTGTCTGCTACATCATTGATGCATGGACCATTACTAGTAGTTCCAAAGTTCCTGTTTTGAGTAGTAATGCTTTGCTTTTATAGAAACAAGGAGAACACAATAGATCCTTAACAGTAAAGAGGTAATTGTGTGTGTGTGTGTGTGTGTGTGTGTGTGTGTGTGTGTGTGTGTGTGTGTGTGTGTGTGTGTGTGTGTGTGTGTGAGCCTACTAATACAATTTATGTTTTGCAGCTGGCACTAATACCAAGTCACAAGTGGTGCAGGTACTGAAATTTTTTGTCATTATTGTAAACCAAACCACACCATTACTAGTAAGAAGAGACAACTACATATTTTCACAATGATGCTATGAGTCAAGTGAAAAAAGTTGAGTGGGCGTTTATTATACATCATTACATGATTATTTCAAACTCAGTAGAACCAAAAATGTCACAAATGATATACCGTAAGCACTACTGAGCGCATGGTAAATCAGCACCACTCCACTGTCGCGTAAAGAACTGTAGCAAGAGCTCTACTTCAGTCCAGCAAGTACTATCGTCAGCAAGCTCTTGAGCTGAAGCTCTGAAGCGTATTGAAGATAATACTTGCTGTGAGTCTCGAGCTAATGCTCTCGAGATCACGAATGCGCATGCACAACTTCCTTCTACCCACAGGTAAAAATTCTGGTTCCGTTCATGGTATACGCGCTGCGTTGACACCGACGCAGTTATGACATACTCGGACTCTAGTCGTATACCAGGATGGAGGACCAGTTCGGATTCTGTGAAGTTGTGCATCGAAAATATGCGGCAGACATCATCCCTGCTTGTGAGGAGAAACGTTCCGTGTTGCACTAAGCAAACGGATGATAATTGGCATTCGCGCTCTTGGCCTGCGTTTGTTTCTTGTAGCGGACGATTTGATTTGATTTGATTTGATTTGATTTGATTTGATTTGATTTGATTTGATTTGATTCGATTCGATTCGATTCGATTCGATTCGATTCGATTCGATTCGATTGGATTCGATTCGATTTGATTTAATTTAATTCGATTCGATTCAATCCAATCCGGGTACCAACCAACCGGCAGTTGGTCAGGCGCTGTGGGTATACGGGACGACGCAATCCATTCCCTCTCGCTGTTGCTTCCGGTGCAGCGCCTGGGCCACGAGCTGTCCCTGCAGTGCCCGCGCCTCGAATCCCCAGTGGGCGTGGTGGTCGCCACCGATCCGCTGGTCGGCAAACGCACGATTGGCCCGGACGAGCATGTTGCCGACGTCGATGAAATCCATGTAACGGGGCCTGTTCTCTACGAACCAGGCACTCGCCCGGTCCCCCAGGGCCAGCGTGTCGGCCCCGACGTCGCCGATGTGGCTCGAATCGGGAGCGTGGGCCTGCCAGACGACAAAGAGGTCCGGTCCGGAAAGCTCCCGGGCAACGAGGCCGAGGAGCTCTTCGAGGCGGTCGAGCGATGCACAACTCGCCTTTTGGTATTCATCGAGTTCCCATACTCCCAGGGACAGGACCACAAAGCTGTAGCGGTGTCGGATGTCGGGTATGGTGCTGTTTCTCTGGAGCCAGTCAATGGCTTCCTTGAAGCAATTCAATCGGAACAAATCGTATTTTCCGGTCTCGAGGCATTCCTCGGAATGGTACCCGTAGTTTCTACCGGGGGTGCTGTTGCTTGTGGAATCAGGGCCGTGCTTTTCTTTGTGATGGCTGTAGGATGTACTATTCCCATCCGTGCCCGTGGATCGGACTCGGAAGCAGTTGCCCTTTGACCCAAGCACCTTGCGTTCCATGGTTGTTTCGAATGCATTTTTCGAACCCAGGTTTGGATAAAAGTCGCGCCCCTCCCCAAACTGCGCCACGGGGATGTTGTCGGGGTTTTCTGATTCGAGGAACGATCGCAAAGTGTGGTACTGCTGCCGAATAGTAGAATCCCCAACCATGACCGTGTTCTCGGATTGAAACAGGCATCGGGTGGCAACTCCAGAATAATGGGGAACCCCAATGGGGGGAATCCAGATGTTTCCTTGCCAGGTATACGCGGTGGCATTTAGGTCTCGATAAAGATACTGGGAAAAGGCATTTGCGCGGACAGAGGTGCGGTAATCGAGTGCTTGGATTCCGGGTGTCTGGTCCCGATAGATGGCATCGAAGGCTGTTTTGTAATTCGTCAATATACTTCGAAGTAGGAGCAAAGAGACGACCCCCATATATATAATCAACGCCAGAGGCACTCGCGTTACAATTGTAATTCCAAAAACCATACTGATATTTTAGATTATGGTTATGTCATGAGGCGCGACAAAGAAAAAAGTACCGTTTGCTTTGTTAATACTAGTAGGAGAATAGAAGACGTACAAGCACCGACTCCGATGGACAATCCGATGGAAAAAAATTCTTTTCGTTCGCGGCTCCTACCAGTACGTACGCCGTACTCCTACGAGGAGGAAAGTAAAGTAGAGAGGGCACGCACGCACGGGACCTTTTAGCCTTTACTGTACGTACGTACCGTACAGCACTTGTACCGTATGAAGCAAAAGCGCAATGCTTTTATGAAGTTTCTGACAAATTTTTGGGGATGGTCGGCGGCCAATTTTAATCACAACTTCTCCCCTCTCCATCTTTCCATCCGTCCTCAACATAAAAACCCTCATTTTTCTGCTGCTAGTACGGTGGTAGTAATAACAGGGGTTCCTTCTCAAATTTCCATTACTGCTGCTGCTAACTGCTGGAGAATCTCCATAAGTGATTTCTTCTTGTCGGGATGCTATCATCGCGATCACTGCTGACTGCTGGGTAAGGGTCTTCTATTGGTGCTGCTTCCTCTGTGAGGCTAAATCCCGAGTAGCTAGTGTTTGCATGCTTTTGTTGTTGTTGTTGTTAGTTATTGTTACTACCTTATTCCGCAGGTTTACATACCAGCAAATTATATTCCAGCAGAAGATTTTTTTTTCGCGCTCGAGCAGAAATGCTAGAACAGAAAGAATGTTTTTTTTCGGCCACGACTTACTCGTTAGTGACTAAAAAATTGAAGCGTTTTCTTACCTTCCTTATTCCAATTATTCAAACACCAGATGACGTGTTTTCGACACGTTCCTCATCATCAAACGCTGCTTTAGAAGAAAATGTACGAGTTACCATACCAAACTCCATGTTTCTACGGTACCTTGCAACTGTGTATGGTATTCTGCTCTCGTGGTATCTTCGGTCGGCACGCACAGCATTATGGTGTGATGCGTAGTCTCAAGTCTGCTACTATGCTACTCCTCGTACTTGTACTCGTACCGGCATGGGTACTAGTAATGTGTCATCTGTCATGAGTCATGTCACACACCCGCATCGTCGACTGCACCGTCAACCGTCGGTACTCGTAGTCAATCCTGATTAGTCAACATCTATCGAGAGGCCAAGCTGCCTTTTCTTTTTGTGTTTTTTACTCCTACGGCCCAAAGTTTATAAATCCGAACACAACTACCTTTCAGCAATAGCGGCCGAATACCCCTCGAATCCTTGCATACCCAAAGAAAACATGCCGTCCCAACAATCCACGCGATCCTCCAGCCACAAAACAATGTCGAGTCTGGGGTTAGCGTCAGTAGCTCTTGTCGCCCTGTCGTCGTGTTCTGTGGAAGGATTCTCTCCCGTCTCCAACGCGGCTCTTGCTCCCCCCAAAACCCAATCCACGGTTGTTGTCACAAGCGCCAGCTATGGTCGAGACAGAAGCACTCACCTGAAAATGTCCTCCGATGCGCAAGACGAGGTTGCCAAGCTCAAAGAAATGGCTGCCAAGGCCCGCGAAGAAGCCGCAGCACTTGCCAAGGTACGTGACGGAGACGCCACGGCGACGCATCGAACCCAATGCTTGTCCAAGTCTGCCGGGCATGACTATTTTCCCCGATGAGATCTCTCGGAGCGAGAAACGATTCTCGATCCGATTGCAAAGTTGTCGACAATGGTGCCAAAATGGACGCCGTGCTGCGATGTCTCTGGATGTCAAGTGTTTCCGCGTTCTCACACTGTAAAAATTTGTCGTGCCCAACTACCGTACTCGCTGCACCTCACAGGAACTCGGTTACGAGGACGAAGACCTCGGAACCAAGGGTGCCAGCGGCAGCTCTACGGCCGCGCCGCCCAAACCTTCCAAAACCACCGAGGAAGTCGCTGCTTCCATTCGCGCGATCGATTTCAACAGCGGTTCCGCCTCCGACCAGGTGTCGGCCCTGGATGCATTGCGAAGCGAGGGAAGCTTGTCTTTGTACAAAAGCGCCACGGCGGAAGCCGGATCGGGTGACTTGCGGTCCTACCCATGCTCTCTGGGAATGCTGGAGAACCGTGCGGGTCTGACGTCCGAGAAGCTCGGCATCGGGGAAGAGGAGGTTAGCCTCGACGACTTCAAATACGGAACGCTCTGGATCACTGGAGGGTGCACCGTCGCCGGAATAGCCTCACTAGCCCTACTGCCCGAAAACATCGGAGCGACACTCTGCTACTTCTTGGCCCTCATCCCCATTCTGTGGCTGGCCGTGGGATCAACGGTCCCTGCCGCCATTGCCAACCTTATTTTGCTGGTAAAGGGCAACGACGACGGCGGTGTGGACCGGACCGATCGAGTCTGCCGGCACGAGGCCGCCCACTTTCTTTGCGGGTACCTGTGTGGCCTCCCTGTCGCCAGCTACGCCACCGCGGACGACTCGGACGTCCCGCGGGTGGAGTTCCATTACTCGGCCGATGGAGCGGCCACCGCGAACCGGGAACTGACCATGGACGAGGTCAACGCGCTGACGGTTGTGGCGCTTTCGGGGGCTGTGTCGGAAGCGATGGCCTTTGGCAAGGCCCAGGGGGGTGCCGGCAACGCCGATCTGACCGAGCTCCAAAACATCTTTCGGAAATCGGAGCAATTTCTTGGGGCCGAAAAACAGCAAGACATGACGCGGTGGGGTGCCCTTACCGCGTACCGGTTGCTGAACTCGAACTCGAAGCAACTGAACGCCCTGGTCGAGGCCTTTCGACAGAAGAAATCCGTCGCCGACTGCGTGGCCATCATCGAAGAGAAAGCATAAAACCGAGACGAGAATACCAGCATTTGACATTACAGGGAGACTTTTATTAAACAGATTATACTTTATAAATTCAACACACCATCACTTCGACGGATAATTGATATCGCACCAGAAACATGGTATGCTTGATTAACATCTACCCGTATGGTAGAGCGAAAGCATCCAACATTTATCTTAGCAGGTTTGTTTGATTGAAAAGTTTGAATTTTAAAATTAGATGTAAAAAAATTAGACATCATTTCAAAGATCGTCATCGACGTTCAACCTAGTAGCTGTTGATTAGTCCGAAAAACAAACTTGGGAAGCTGGTGTCCCTAAAGCCGCAATTGGACCTCATACTCTGATTGATCTTGCAGTTGCAACCTCTCGGGTTTTTTTTTTAAATCGGAGCATTTTCCCCTTCACCTTCGTCCCTAAGTCTTTCAATCAGTTTCACGTGAAAGTTTTGGCCGTGATCTCATTGTTGATGTTATTTACAAAATGGGAGGAATCAAAACAATTCGTTTCTCGTTTTGGCACCTTGGTACTTCCAGTTTGGTTGGGTAGGCTAGACAAGGAACAATGCAACATTATAATCATCTTTTGGGCACCAGATATGCATTCCAACATTGTGGCAGTTGGTTGGATTCCTTCGAAGCTGTGAATCTATTCCCCATATCGTTGACACCTGGCGTGTCAAAGAGTTGATCGGAACGCCGTATTTTCTGTTGCGTCTCGTAAGTTTCTGATGAACTCCGCGAGTTGATCAATGACAAAAACCACAAATCATTACCTTGCATGCACATACATAGGCGAAATCGAGCTCCGCATGTAGCATATGGCAAGATCACCATTGATCTAGAACATGTCGACACCTTCAAACGGTCGAGATTTTTAACTCGGACCCTATCGGCACTCACGTCGTTGAGCCTTGTGCAATTGTGGTCAAACTGATACACCAATCAGTGGCTGTATCGAACATTAATGCAAAATCGTGAACAAAATCCTGAAAGTTGTAATGAGAGAAAGACCAAGTCTAAGGGGCAGAGGCACCGGGCCTAACCACATCGGTCTAGCGCAAAGATTCCCATATTTTTCTCTACAACATGACAGGAAGTGCGCTTGTAGATCAAAGTTGATATCGATGACTTTTTGAATTGACTTGATCCATCCTATCGATGTTTCAATCGTCCATCGAACAACCATGACACAAAAAAGACTAAGATATGGGTTGCAATGACGAACCGTTATCCTGGATCGTTTACCACGAGGATCAGATGCCAAAACCTCAGGAACTCCTATTTCATTTCTTTGTTTCCAAACTTTTCAACCTTCCAGATCCCCATCATAATGTTTAATGTCTTTCGGGCCTCCAAACTGATTGTATGATACAACAGCACGGATGCGGAAATTGTCCAGTAAGAATGTGGTAACTCATGTTTCGTTCAGATTAAGATCAATGGAAAAGTCGATAGCTTATCAAAATCACGGAAAGAGGCAAGACCCGATGTTGTCATCGATAGTCAAGGAGGCTACATCCGACACCCTCGGTGATTCGATGACAAGATTACTCGAACAAAACGGATTAATGGCAAATATCCCACCCAACTCGCAACGAATATTTGTCATGCACTGATTATTGACCGAGGCCGTCAGATCACGGTGCAAGTTATGCATCTCTAGTTCTTTCCATTGAATGGATAGGCGTTATCATCTCCGTTGCGCCAATTAGAAAAAACACGATTTGCATCGGTCATTGAAAGACACCGGGTTTGCTGGCTTCCGCTGGACCTTGCTCGTGACGCCGGTCCCCAACACACATCAAACCCAACGACCATGTTCAGAACGCGTGGCGTTGTAGTCATCGCGCTCTTTGCTCTTTGTGTACTTCAGAAAGTTAGTTGTTGACACATAGTTGTGTAGATCAGGAGGGACTACCATTCTTGCCACAAATCAGTCTAATTCGTCATACTGCGCTTGTGTATCCGACAGGAATTAATGGCGCGATACGGTACATTACCAGGTACCAAAAGATCCAAGAGAGCATGAGGATGGCGGACGTTCAGATTCAGACTGCGGGTTGAGAACAATAAATGAAAGAGAGAAATTGAGTTCGTATCCATTCTGATCTTGAATGGGCAATACAATTAATTTTCAAAACAGATATAAGCTCTTTCATATTATATATTTGATTGCGTCTCAAGAATTTCTTCTCTATTTTATCGAGTAGAGAACATTTCCATTTTTTGAATTCTATCTGGGGCTTGATTATTGGTTGGGTTGCACACTTGATCCTGAGGTGGCTGTTCCACTCCGAGACAGATGGATCGTGGGACAAGAAATATGCTGTACATACGAGTAGAAGGTAATGGCATAGCACCAGTGTTGTACATATTTTGAAAGCAACATCAACAACATTTTCCTCTTTGCAAACGGTTGACGCAGTTGACCATGGTATTGTCATTGGCGTCGTCATTGACGTCATCCTTGGCGACGTCAAAGGCAGCGTCAAGGAATGCGTCAAAGGGGAAGCAAGGCGACTTGCTTCCAATCCTGATAATTCCAGGATTAATGAGCAGCGGATTGGAAATCGAAGAATCGAAAATCAAACCAGAATGGGAGGGTGAACGACTCTGGCTGAACCTCGCCTCGATCGGAATTTCCGCGATGTATTTTGGAAAGGCGCAATTTAGAAAACCATACGACATCATCGACAGCGATGACGAGAGCGACAGCGAAGAGGAGGAAGAAGAAGTAGCCGAAGAACATCGACAAGCAAATTTCAAAAGTGCTTGGTTGAAACACATAGTGCTATCCCCCGATAAAGAGTCAGATCCACCCGGTGTCAAAATCCGTCCCATCGATGGACTGGAGGGAGTGGCCTACTTGGCTCCCGGTGCTCTCACAAGCCAATTGACCTATGTTTTTGGACCTGTTATTGATATCTTAAAAGAGGCCGGATATAATTCGGAGGGCGGAAACACAAATCTAATGGCATCTACATACGATTGGCGGTTGGCACCTCGCACTTTGCAAAAACGCTCCAAATATTTTACGCGAACAATGGAATCTATTGAAAAGCTGTACTATACCAACGGATCGACCCCGGTGGTTCTTCTCTGCCACTCACTAGGCTGCAAAATTGCCCATTATCTGTTAAACTATGCGTTGGATAAAAAGGGTCAAGGGTGGATCGATAAATACATTCACACATATATGGTACGTGCTGCAAAGCGATTGTATCATTTTGAAGAGCATCATTGCCGAAGGTTTTGCCACTCTTAAAGTTTACTCACGTCTTTCTTTTCTTCTACAATACATCCGACAAAAAGCCTGTTGGAGGTCCACACCGTGAGTCTCCGCAGCCGCACCATGCATTTAATGTCCCGTCTATGCATGAAACGAAACTCAATGTCCTGTTTGTCCTGTACCTTTTCCCTCACCATTGAATTCTCTTTCCTATTCTTTTGCGGCAGTCGGTGCACCCAAAGCAATGCGGGGACTCATCTCCGGGACCAAGATGAGTTTGGATACGTTCTTGAGCGACGAAGAAGCCCTTTCTTTGTCTCGTTCTATTGGCTCGGGAGCTTGGATGATACCCTCGGAGTTGCCAGACGGCGTTCCCGCCGCTAATTATATCTCGCCACACGGTGTATTGGAAATAACATTTGCCCATGCTCTTGACGTGGATAACCTTGTAAAAAGACGCACGAAAGGGAGCAGACCCAAACGCTACCAACTCGAGATTTGTGCTAAGGGTTTTGATTGCAAAAAAGACGACGATTCTCGGCGAACGGTCCGCACGCCGTTTCACAGAGTCTCCCCCGACTTGGGACCGAACGTCGTTGTGTTCCCCAATAGCGTGTCATTTGCTACCGAAACGCAACCGTATTTCAACGAGGCCCTTCAGTTTTTGCTGCACGAGCCGGGGATAGCCTCCGCTAAAAAAGAGAAAGAGGGATGGACGTGCAATCCTTTGGTGTGGTGCCTCTGTTGCTGTTGTATTCCGTGCATGCTTTTATATCGGGTGATAGAAATGTTGCTCTGCGGTCTCATTCGTTTTTCAACATTTACGGCGGACAAGATCGCGGGCTCGGCGGGCAGCAGTGCCACGCTAGCATTTTCTGAGCGCATAAAGATACCGAAATCGGTGTGGCAAGGAAGGACGGTCACCATCAAGGTTCCGATGTACCACAAGGATGACTATGGTCATTTCGAAGGCTGCTGCCAGGCGACAAAGCAGTCTCGAACGGTTTACCTCTATGTGACGCTTCGGTGGACCAAGTTCGATGGAACGAAGTCTTTCCGGAGACTGTGTTCCCCGGTTTGCAGGCCGATGGATTCTGCCGTTCTTCTGCCCATTACATCGAGCAGCAGCACGAAATACGAGGAATTTTCGGGGTACGACATCGCGGAGCGCGAGGGGCTGGATGACACGCTACGATTTATCAAGGAAGCGTACGACAAGGACAAATACCGTCCGCGCAACTTGTCTTCGCACGATCCTCCTCCAATCAATCGCATCCATGCAATCTACGGAGTCAACGTCCCTACGGAAGTGGGTTGCGTGTACTCGCGCCAGGACACGTGCCTATCGGAGCACGTGATGCAGAGCTTTTACGTTCCGGACAAGACTGCCTTGATCGGAAAGAGCAACAAGGGCTACTGCGTCTCGGAGGGACTGATCATGGAAACCCCCAACACCGAGCAAACCGTCCATGGTGGTGTGAGGAGGAGCGGCGACGGAACGGTTCCGTACTGGAGCCTTGCGCACGTAAAGACCTGGCACGGCAAGGATTGCACGGTCACCGTTCAGGAACTCGACAACGCAAAGCACAGAGAGATTCTGAACGACGAGCGCTTCCACGAAGCGCTCCTCGATTACGTCCAGCTTTGACAAGCCATCCCCAGCAGGACAGACTAGATTATATGTAATTGATTTTTTTTCCCGTTTCCATTCTAAAACTGATGTGCAATAAAATGATTTCCGGAGGCTGATATTGAATCCCGAATGAAATGCAGCACACCATGAAATCATTTCCATTCTAAAACTGATGTACAACAACATGAGTTCTGGAGGCTGATATTGAATCCCGATTGAAATGCAGCAAACCATGAAATCGATCCTGAATCAATTTTCTGAAATTCTGTCTATTTGGTAGAATTTGATTTGGTTTCGTAACACTTCTTAAGTTTTAGCAATACTTCACAAAGGATTCGTGTTGTTTCGTTGCGTTTCACACCCGGTCCCCGGTCGGTGGCTCCGGTGCCACCGCCAGCCTTGTGGACGCGTAGCTCAGGTAGACGGTCCAGACCAGCCCCACGAAGTTCGAGTAGACGACCTGGAACTTGAGCGGGACCGTTGCGAACATGATTCCCATTGCCGGAATCCACAGCTTCCAGTTGGAGGTGACGAGGGTGGGTCCCGCCTCGACCAGCCCCGCGGCGACGTCCGAGGGAGCCTTTCCCTCGAGGAGCCACAGCAAGCCCATAAAGGCCGGGCAAAAGACCGGTGCCGCTCCGAACTGGTCGAGCGCCAGGCGCTGCAGAATCCGCTTGGGGGTGGCCACACCCGGGACCAACCGGGTGCCGAGGAATCCGTACCACAGATGGGTGGCCGGTGCCACCCAAAAGGCCCCGATCAGCAGGAAGCGCCCCGTTCGGTGCCAGTCCATGGCACGAAAGGCGTCGGCAACCGTGGGTTGTGCCGCTGCGCCCGCGGTTGGCTCTCGCCTGTTTTCGTCGCTGGCCTTCGACGCGTCGAATCTGTATTCGAGAACCTGGCAAACAACGTCCCCGGCGGCAGCGATCAGGGCACTCGAAACGATCTTGGTGCTCCAGGGGCGCTCGTCGAGCCGCTTCGAATACCAATGGAAGAAGCCACCGTCGTTGCTGTGCTTCTGGTTGCTCTTGGTACCACGGTTCCTCGCAGACGAGGACGAGGACGACGAGTTCCGTGTAGGCGGTCGCAGTGGTTTCAGTTGCTTTGCCACCAAAGAGGTGTGAAAGGGTCCTCGATCTGTTTTCGTTTGCAACGTCCTCGCCCGAAGGTAAAGCACCATCCGGCTGGTGGCGTTGGAGGTGGGCACACAACGGTTCATCATGGTGAAGAAAGGATGCGATCAAAAGAAACAGAGCAACACACACCGAAAACCACACACACCGAAAACCGTGACGAAATACGCTCAACGCTGAAACTTAGAGCAGTTTTCGTCTTCCCATAGGTATTGTTGTCGTTATTGGTGTTGACGTTGTCGTTCCAGTCGATATGATACGAGATCCGTATCGAATCAAACAGAATGACAATGGCGATTGCGGTATGTTTAGAGTTCCAGAGAAATTCCTTGCGTTACTGATCAATGATTAGGACAGGATTATGAATAATGATGAATGATGAGCGAAGTGATGGGTTTGGACGGAATTTCGAAACAAAAAAGGTAGGATAATTTGGGTGCAAAACGAAAAAAGGGGGGGGGGTTTAAGAATAATAGTATCACGTTCGAGAAAGCTCGCTCTTCTCTCTTAATTTTCTGTTCAAAATAAAGTTCGTACGACGTACGTACCGTTCGTTATTAGGCACATGAGGACGTGTGTTCTATTTTTTAAATCTACCGTATCTAGCCCTCGCGGTTCATGTGACACCTCGAAAGATTTTGTTTGCTGTCTTTCGGGCTTTCTCACGCCATATTCTTAACAATGATCTCGATGGAGGCTGAGTTCTCGTGCAACATCCAGAACATCGCAAACGGCTCGATGCTCAATCAAACGCATGGGGAGTTCCACGTGAAATGGCAAACGGAAGCAACATCGATGTTCAAGAAAATGGTTCGATACGATCCCACCTCCCGTTCTCCTCTTCTAATGGATTCTATCGTTCATAGACGTAGCAGTCCAAAACCGGTAGAGCCCATCATTTGCGATCTGTCTCCCGATACAATTCTTCGAAATATTAAAAACCATAAATTGTTTTTGCATGGTTGTACTGGATGACTGACGCAGTATTTCATTAGACCTGCCCAACTCCACATCTTCTTTCCGAAAACAGTGCCGTTATTGAAAATAGATCCCCTGTCAGTTGGTGCAACGCCAATAGGGATCACCCTTGCTCAGAATCAATTGAACGGCCGCAAAATATAACCGATCGAGTTCTGCTTCTTTTGTTTGCATTCCCCATGCCAACGCGATCTGCTAAGTTTTTTCGGCCTCCTGCCCACCATTCCCACCATGCGCCGCGAACACTCACTAATTGTTTGCCGACCGAGTACAATATAGTGGCAGAAATGTAAGGCGGCTGTCTCCGATGCCGTCGTCCTTGTCGAGATTCCACTTCGTTGAGCGTTGTCGTATTGCAGACGTTTCGATTCGTTACGTTTTTTCCGTGGCATCACGACGTCATTCTTGCACATCCCTGCCGGTGCTGTCGTTTCACCGTTGTTCTGTCACCGGGATTGTACCAGTGCTGGCAGCAAGCACTAGCCACTCTCGCTTCGGCTTGGCTATGCCTGGCGACCCACCAGGCGGGCCCCCACCGGCACCACGCTCGCGTAGAGGATCCCCGAGGTTCCGCAGGCAACCGGTGGCGGACCGCCGCCGGCCCCGGTCGCCGCGTCTTCGCCTTCGTCGTTTGGTCCGGCGCACGCCACCCCGTGAAAGGGGGTCACGTCCGTCTTGCAGTACCCCGAGGACAGCAGGGAGTCCGGCCCATCGCCTTCTCCCTTGGCGAGGGCGGACGGGTCGGTGCGCTTCAACCGGATGTATCCGTCTTCGCCCCTGACAAACGTTGATTGTTTTTTGGTCGTGTTGCGGCGTTCCGGCGCAGCGGAAAAGGGAGTGGGCGGGTCAATGGGATTGGGTGAGGTTCGACACGGAACAACACAAAAAGAAGACGCGTGTGGCGATGCGGTCCACAACAACGCAACGCACTTCTCTGGCATGGATCTATACAGAAAACTTTGCAAGCGTTTCTGCTGGGAAGAATTTTCGGTAAACAGAGAGTACGTACCACAGAGCGCCCCAGCTGTTTCGGACCAGCCAATAATCTTCCCCCGTCTTCTCGTCCGTTCCGTATCTTGGGAATCGAGTCGAGTCCGAAGCAAACCCGTGTGGCGATTGTCGACAGATTGAATTCAATCAGAAAAATGATCAGGTGTTAGTTTCTCGATTTACAGATTGGCGAACAAGAGGAAAGCAATGCGAATGGAAACCCGGTGCATCCTCCGGGCTCCGACGCACAACAAACCCCATCCCAGCTCTTCTCTTCCGCGCAAGTGCGCACCGCACGGTGAACGATTCTCTTACCCCTCCACGACGACCGCGTGGTTCATGTCGTAGTGGTTCGTTGCGTTCGAGTCGTCAAAGACCCCGCCCCCGTAGTGGATCCACTCGTTGGCCGCTACCGTCACGACGACGGGCCCCTCAATGGCAACGGCGGAGACCAGGGCGTCGTACGAGTTGGTCGGCAGCGAGAAAAAGCCGTCCACCGATGCCAGGGCGCGGTCCTCTAGGTACGAGATCTTCGCGGTATCTCCGATCCTGCTGCTGCTATCGTTGTCGTTGTCGATGTCGTTGTCGTTTCTATTGCTCTTGTTGGCGGCGGCGGCGGTGCAGCTGCCGGTTTCTCCGCCGTAGCTCGTGTATCCGTCGACCCACTCCGATACGATTCCGTGCTTGGAGACGTAGTCGTAGGCGAGTTCTCCGGTGGAACCCGAGCATCCGCCCTTCCCGCCACAATGGTTGGGATTGGGAGCGCAGGAGACTATCATTTTTGGTTCGTTTTGATTCGTTTTGTTTTGTTTTGTTTTGTTTCGATTCGTTTGAAAGCATGGTGTCGGAAAATGCGTTTGTGAGTGTCGATGGTTCTGCTGCATTGCATACATTGCGCCCGTGCGATTCGGTGTTGTCCACGAGGGAGTGTTGCGATTCCGTCGTTTCCGTGTTGCACTGCGTTGCACACTTACCCAGTTCCTGCGGGGAGAGCGAGACCAGCCTGCCCGTCGCAATGGCCAGGTGGGATTCCAGGGCGGAAACGGCCGCAAAGGCCCAGCACGATCCGCACATTCCCTGGTCCTTGACGGGGGTCGCCACCCCCCTCTCCCTCCAGTCGATCCAGCCCGGAAAGGGGCGGCCGTTGGCGTTGGCGTTGGCGTTGCCACTGCTGCCGAGGCCCCGCCGCCGCCTGCCATCGGTGTCGCCGCTGCTGCCGCTGCCGCTGCTGCTGTTTTTGCCCGATGCAAAACGGTGCGGTGTCGCTCTTGGGGAAAGCCTCTTGTCGAAGCCCTTGGGGACCTCTTCCGGGAGCATGTCCGAGAATTGGTTGATCCCCATGGTCCAGCCTTTCTGCTGCCGGTTGTGGTCGTGGATCCGTTCGGAGTTCCTCTCGAAGATGGCCCTGCGGCGATCGCGTTCTTCTGGCGAATCGTAGACCTTGCCAAAGGTTCGGACAAAGTCCTCGAAGGAAACGTCTTCGGGGAGATTGGTTGTTGTCGCTGTTGGAGCTGCTGCCATAGCTGTTGTTGCTTCCGGTGTCGGGTTTCCGGCCGAGCCCGTAGCAAGCAATGGCAAAACCGCGAGAAAGACGACAAGGGAGGAAAGCAGCATCACCAAGGACAACCGCACAACATCCCAGCGCTCCCGTCCTTGATGCTGTTGCTGCCGAAGATTGCCGCCGGCCCGGTTCCCTTGGGGTGCCGGGAACAACGGGGTGGTCTCGCTCGCCGCTCGGTGTTTCGCTGTCATGGCTGGTGTGGCATGCCGTGTCGTCTCCATATCTTGTGTCGTGTTGTGTCGTGTCGTGTCGTGTCGTGTTGTGTTGTGTTGTCCTCTATGGTGTTGCCGAGCCAACAGCGGAAGTTCACTACTGTAACGACTACGGTGACAGTTGTACCGTATTCTCCCATGATTGTTGATTTGATTCGTTCTTCCCTATCGTAGGATTTTTCATAGCACCGCGCGGGAAGATAAAGATACTGTATTTGCTTCTTTTTTGTTTCCCAACTGTTGTCGCGATATTTATTCCCGCTGTTTCACTACAGTTAAACTTTAACGGCTTGTTTGCCGGCACTTGCTCAACATTCAAATTTTCAGTTCTCTGTTTCCGTTGCCATAATTACTACCAGGAGCAGAAAAGCTACTATGGAGTACGAGTAATCGTACGATTACTCGTACGAACGATCCTTGACCAAATGTGACTAGAAGTACTTCAGTGCTTATTTCATTTGAGAAGGGTTCGTCTATGTGTACGGCTACGCCAGTCGCAGTACTGGTCTTGGTGGTTATAACCGATGAATGGTAACGACTAATGGTTCTGTACGTACCAAGTACTCGTAGTAGCATGTGTGTTGTAATGTGTTGCACGCAAGACTAAGAGAAGCAGAAAAGAAAATCCGTTTCGTTTCGTTCGGATTGTTCTCCCGATTCCCGATCCCACCATTCGTTCCGCCGCAAGAAGCAGCTCTCGCAGCATTCCATAGATTCGAGGATACTGCTCGGCTGCTGCAACCACCACCACCATTGCTAGTTCGACAAGAACCCCTCTGTGCGGCCCGTTGATTTCCACCATGAACAACCCCGATCTCGCTTTTGCCGACGGTCCTACAAACCAAAACCACAACGATCTCGGAACCATCGGTCCCTCCTTCCACGACGGAGCACAAGATGGCGAAGAAGACGAAGAAGCAGCAGCTGCAGCTGCAGAACCGACCGGAAACGACACGGGACGAAAAAAAGGCCAGCCGCCCAACGCCGCTCCCGCCCTTGCGAACGAGGCAGCGGCGATGGCCCTGAGGGACGTCTCGGAAGGCCTGGACCGGGCCCTCGGGAGCCTCCGGTCGTCGGCCGAGCGGCTCCTGGGGGGGACCGCCTCCTTCCTCGAAACCCTCGGTTCCGTGGAGAAGGCCTACGGCAAGGCGAAAGACCTCGAGTGCGCCGAGTCGCAGCGGCTGGACGCGGTCGAGCCCGCGGTCCTGTACCGGTCCGGTCTCCTCCTCGGGGGCGACGCCGGGTAGAGAAGAAGAAGAAGAACGGAGGGCCCGTCCAATGCGCATGGCACTGCCGGTGCACCGAAAACCGTATCCCAACTAGTTTCCATTCTATCATTGGTACTGTACTGTACTGTACTATACTGTAGGATCGCAATGCTCGTCTTGTCTCGAAATCGAGTCGAATCGTGGAAGCACGGATGGTTCGAGTGTTTTGCATTTGCATCGCAAAAGCGTGCCACAGAGAAAATCTCTGCTTCGCAACGACAAAGACAATGGACAATGCCCTGGGGTGCGATTCTTCCACTGAAAACTGCATGGTTGGCCGGCAGTATGAATGAATGAATGAAAGAATGGTGCTGATTTGTCAAAGAGAGGACTCGGTCGGTTGTTCTGCGTCCGCGGGCACCGGCCCTCCCTTGTCTTCTTTCTCGTGTGATTCGTGCCGTCCCACCCTGCAATTCGTTCCAGCCAGCCGGAGGAGCATGGATCGATCGATCGATCGAGCAAACCAACGGGATCGCACTACCGTATAAAGCAGCACGGCACACTTGTCTGCGGATCTGCCACACGGCGCGGTGGGAGAGGGACACGACGGCGGGACCACCGGCATTGGCGCCGCTTCGTTCTAGCCATGCGCGGTTGTGCCGGTGCCGTTCCTACCGATGCTGCGGCTCGGCAGCGCGTTCATTTCGATCTGCCGCTGGCCGGCTTCGTCGGCGTCGGTGCCGTCGCGGTAGAAACCCGGGAAGGACCCCTCCCCCCCGGTGGGGCCCGCTCCGTCCTGCTTCGGCCGCCGCCTCTCGCACTCCTCCAGCTCCTTCCGGAGCCGCTCGGTCCGTTCCGGCACCAGGGAATACCGGGACCACACCAGGAGCTGCAGGCTCGAGCACACCAGCGGGGGAACCACCATGAGCCGGTAGAGGACCGTGTTGGCGTGCGCGGCATCGCCGCCGGTGCCCTGGTTGTACCCGTCCCCCAGAAAGGCGGAGGCCAGGATCGGCAGCACCGATTCGGCCGGCTTGCAGAACAGGGCGTTGACCCCCATGAAGAGGCCGGCGAGCGATGGCGCGCGGGTCCTGCCCTGGAGGACCACGTGGGAGTGCTTGGCCTCCAGGACCATGTCGCACATGGCCAGGCCAAAGCCGGTCCGGGCCATGGCGTTCGACAGGACGCTGCTCGCGGCCAGGTAGGCGGCGACCGGCCAGAGGGCTTGGGTGGTGCGTTCGCCTTCGCCTTCGGCGTTGCCGTCGCCGTACGAGGCCCCGTTCCACAGCAGCAGGGAGGAGGCCAGCACCGCGTTGGTAAAAAAGACGACCGAGTACATGCGCGCGTACCCGTATCGCTGGACGGGGAGGAAGAGGAGGAGCCCCACGACCTGCGTGGAGGGATCCAGCAGCGCGAGCATCCAGTCGCAGGATTCCCGGGACCATTGGCCCCCTCCGCCGGCGTAGAGCAGCCGATCGACAAAGGTCTTTTGGAAGTTCCCCACAAAGGTGTTTTGCATCTCCATGAGCATCTCCATGGCGATCCAGTACCGAAAGTTCGGGTGGGAGGCAAAGTCCCTGACCACCTGCCAGAACCGGAGGGTGCCCTCGTCGCCGTCGTCGTCAACGTCGCTGCTGCTGCTGCCGTGGTCGTCTTCGCCGCGTTCGGCAACCCTTGTGTCCTTGCTAACCGCCGCACCGCCCTCGCCGTCGGTGTCCACGCGGCGGTAGGCTCCCTTGCGTTTTGCGGAGGTTCCACCGCGTTGCTTGGCGGTGGACGGGCGGTCCTTCGGGTGTTGGTTGATCAACCCCTGCCCCACGACCGACAGGACCGACGAGGCCAGCACCAGGACCACCAGGTAGATCCGAAAGGGGCGCAGGTTGGCCACGTCGAAGAGCGACAGGCCGATCTTGGTGACCACCAGCGGGGCCAGGATCCCCACCAGGTCCCTGCAGACGAAAAAGGCGATCCGCTGCCCCTGGGTCATGGAATGGTTGTCGGAAACGATCGATCCCTGCAGGATGCAGTTGAAGGAAAACATAGTGTCGTAGACACTCAGCGACCCAACAAAGTGGAGGCCGTCCCAGAAATTGCCACCCCTGCGGTTGCCCCCCCCTTCCCACCGGAAAAAGGGCAGCAGCACCGACAGGGCAAAGAGGCACCCGCTGAGGCCCACCAGGCTGTCCCGGCTCTTGTCCGTCTTGGAGGCGTACCAGTCGACAAAGTAGGCCCCGGCCACGTCGTTGGCCGTGTTGATGACCGCAAAGATGGCCGACCCGATCCCAAAGACCCTCAGGGGCAGCTTGTAGGCCCGGAGGAAGCAGTCGACGTAGAACATCCCAAAGGCGTCGGCGACCAGGGTGCCCGCGAGTCCGGCCACCACCAGGCCGATCAGCGAGGAGAGCGTGGTGCTCCCGCAGGAATAGCCGGGGCGAAGGATCCCCGACAACGAGCCGTCGCCTCCGTGGTGGTCGTCGTCCTTGTTTTTGCCGCCGTCTCCGGTGTCGGTGTCGTGCTCGTATTCGTATTCGTCTTCGAAGGGGCGAGGATCTGCGTCGTCGCTATCGAATGGTTCCTGCGAATCGTCCGTTCCGAATTCTGGAGCAGCACCCATGGTCGATGCGATGCAGAGTGAAATAGAAAACAACAAGCAGAAGCAGGGAGAAACAAACCTTCTATTGCTGTTTCGTGTCCGCCAGAGCTGCAGTTGTTAGTTTGTGTGTTGGTTCTTCGTCACGTTTTGTTTTGGTACGAGTACGTACCGTAATGTACAGCAATTCCAGCACACCGCAGTAGACCTCCCGTATTTCTCCGGTGCGAAAAACGAAGAAAGGTATCAAAATACCGTATCGTACAGTAGTACTACTCGTACTGCAACTAAAACTACGGCAGGTGTGTTATTGTATCCACTACGTACGTACTACGGTAGCTACCTATTTTACGATACGCGTACACTTATATACTGGACGAGCCATTTTTTTTTTTTCTTTCCTCTTGGAGGGAGGATCCATTCGGAAAACGTTCAATATGTATAACCGCTAAACAACCGTTAATTTAATATACCCCTTCGTAGACAGTACGATCAGCGGACGTGCGTGCGAAACGAAATTCGTGCTACCATAAAAAGTAGGAGAACCCCTTCTAGTACGGTACGAGAACGTTGGTTGAATCAGAGAAGTCATAATTCAACGGAGGTTTCAATGATACCACAATTATTTTCATACCGGTAGCCGAACCGTACCGTACGTACCGTAGAAACAAATACGAGTACCATACTATTTCTTCGGATCTGAGTAGGTGACATCGGAAACAGAGACCTGCGAGAGATTCACTAGCTTCGCCTCCGGACACAAAGCGCCATCTTCTCGCGGGGAACTCCTGCTAGCTAGCTAGCAAGCAAGCAACACGAGGAGAATCGTAGGGAAGGGAACCATGCTGCGAAGGGCGCTGGACGAAGCGGAGCAGAATCACGAACAGCAGCAACCGCAAGAGCCACAGCTGCAGCGAAATCATCGGCCCCGAGCGGAAGAAGTGGAGGGAAGCGAACGCTCCGGTTTGATCCCCCCGATCCACAAAAAATACGGATCTACCTCCGTGTCGTCGAATCGGGGAAAAGGCGGCCTCGGAGGGGATGCCGATTACCACCACGACCACGACAACTACCACAGCCACAACCACATCCACACTCGTCGTGTGAACTATCCCGACGAGGAGGATGACGACGAAGACGACGACGACGACGACGAAGAAGAAGCAGAATACCTCTCGGACACGGACGCCGACGACGACTGGGCCACGGAGGAGGCACCGTTCTCGGAGCGCGAGTGGCCCCGGAGGGCCGGGAGGTTTCTGGCCCGTACCTGGGGCCTGGCGAGGGGCTGCCTTTCCTTTGTCCTGAACGTCGACAACGTATGGGACTCCCCGGCGTTCGCCACGGAGCGCGGGGCGGGGGGGGCGAGCAAGAGAAAAAAGTGCGTCGTCTTCTTCTGGTTCGCCGTCCTCGCGGGCTCGTACACGATCGAGCGGGTCTCCTTCAAGCTCCTGGTGGACCGGTCCGGCCCCTTTCGGCTGGTCGCGGTGTCCGCCGTCGTGGCCTTCCACGCCCTCCTCGCGGGGGGGAGCCTGCTGCTTTCCGCCGTGTGGTCGGGGCGCCGGGGGGAACGGGAGGGCCCGTGGGGGAGCAGTGGTGCCGCTTCTGCTCCGGCCCTACGGGCCCTCGGGATCCCGGTGGTCGACGCCGGGCTGATGGCCCTCCTCGACACGGTCCATATGATGCTGGTCTTTCTGACCGGATACCACGTGGCGCCGACCCAGACGGTGATCCTCGTCCAGTGGACCCTGCCGCTCACGGCCCTCCTGTCGCAGTTTTTTCACGGGGACGGCTGCGTGGCGGCCTGCCTCCCGCACCAAGGGCCCAGCGAACGAGGACACCCTTCCGCCGGCGCCGGAACCGCCGCCGGGCGGCCCCTGCCCGGCTGGGGGGGGCTGTCGATCGAGCACGTTGTGGGGTCGGTGGTCATCTCCCTCGCGGTCCTGCTGGCCCTGGCGCCGTCGATCTACACGACGCTCGTGGACAACGAGTACTTCCGGTACGCCTCGCCCACCAAGATCCCCACCCAGACGGCCTACAACACGATCCTCTTTGTGTCGAGCTGCCTGCCGGCCGCGGCGTCGCAGCTGTACAAGGAACACGTCTTTCACAAGCACAAGCAGCCCGTCCACCAGGACCATCTCAATTTTGTCTTGTCGGTCTTCCAGCTGGTCTTTGCGGCGATCGTGTCCCCGCTGGCCTACGTGCTGCTGGGCTTTGCCGCCTCGGACGACTGGACGGAGCTGTACCCGTCCTCCGGCTTTGGCAAGAACCTGGCCGAGGGCTTGGAGTGCTTCGCGGGGGTGCTGGACGAGGAAGAAGCCGAGAACGGGTTCTACGACGAGGCAAACTGTCGGAATTCCTTTTCCCTAGTGGCCCTGTATGCCTTCTCGGTGATCGGGGTGGGCGTGGCGGTCGACAAAATCGTCAACGGCGGGGGTGAGTCGCAGGCGACGAAACGAAGCAGTGCAGGCCACGGCATAGTTTGGTTCTCACTTTCTGTTTTGTTTTTTTTATTGGACCTTCTCCTTTTGCCTCGGTTCCCGTCTCACAGCTACAAAGGTCATGTACAGGGGAGTAAGTGCCGGAATCATCCTTTCCGTCACCTCTCTGTATTTGTACGATTTGCACATCCCGGACTTCAACTACGGACCGGCCATCGATAGCCTGAACCTGGTCTGCCTGATCCTTTTAGTGGTTGGTTCGGAGATCTACCATCGGGTGAGTCTGCAAGACGCATCGTTCGAAACCGTCTATCCCGAGATCGAGAGCTTTTTCGATGACATCACGGAATAAAAAATGAAAGGGTATCGCCGCTCCCAGAGGCAAAGGCAAGGCGCCAAAATTCGGAGCCGATGGGCCCATGCTCGGGTGTGTCGTTGCAATAGTAGATAGGAAATAATAGACTGTAACGGGTAGATCTTGTATTGAAAGTCAATCCATAGCTCCCTGCTCTGGTTCTCCGTCCATCGCCCCAGCCGGAGCTCCTTCTTGTTCGAATCAATCTTCTTTTTCTTCTAGTACTCCGGAGATCCTTCATTGGAGATCCAGATTTCGTTCTTGATGGAAATGACAAGTTAGCGTGCAGGTGTGCCCGTGAGAAAAGTGGTGATCGATGATGCAAGTGGCAGTAGCCACTGCCTGTCCCCTTGCTTGAAATCCAGCCACCGAAGAAATTGTTGCAACAGCATCCCCATCTTGAACTCACCCAGTCATAGACAGCGCAGAACTKGTGTACTAATACTGTTGAGCCTCACAATTTGAAGTTCTCTTATTGGAAGAATGAATTCTTGTTGATAGCAGTCTTCACTTCTGCAAGAAGGTCCCTTTAGGCTATGAAAGGAGAAGGGATCCCAAGGTTGATAAAGGAGAACCTCACGACTGGGAACAAGAAGATGTTGAAAATGCTGATGTTGAAAATGCTGGTGGGTGGCATCCCTATTACTACAGGCCCATCTTCAAAGCAGCAAAGCAGATAATCAAGATTAAATGGATAGTGAATTGCAGTGCACATTCCAACACCCAACATGTAAGATGAGTTCTTCTACTACTGCCCTGCTCTCAGAACATGCTCAGAAAAATTTAGTCAATTCTATATAACCAGAACGTTCCAAAATAGTAGAGCAATGATCCAGGAAAAGAAAAAATTTCATGTGACAACTCAAACTGCTGGTCTTATCAGTAAAGTATGCAAATTTGTTCTGGTTACTAAGAATTGAGGGTCTCATTGCACTAGCACCAACCTAAGGTTCTAGAAATGCAACTGGAGAAGGGAAACAACATTGCAAAAAAAAATATTGGTATATGCCAAGAAAGGGTTGCTATGTTTTGTTGATGTGCTAATGTTTGTAGCTATGCCTAAACATCCACAAGATATATTTTTATTATTAAGATACTTAGTTTGTTATGAAAGTTAAAATGGAAACAAAAAGACTGCAGAAATAGCAAGATGGCTACTACTACTACTAGACTGGAGAAAGCTACTACATTACAGATTTGATGAATTGCACTTGAGACAATATTTCTTTTTAAGTTTTTGCACACTAATAATTATTATGTAACCAGAATGCATAGTTTATGCTGGTTAATTTTTCGTTCCTCTTGGCAGCTTACTTGTTTACTAGTACTAGTACCAGAACTCCATGATGTGATGCTGGATGAAGGTGATGATTTGGATGAATCACTCAACAAATATTATTAGTAATAATAGTACATAAATGATTGAGTATTGGTACATTCCTCTACTATTGCTTTGCAACAAAAAGCATCAAATAAATATGTGATGAGTTTGAAATACTAGTAAAGAAAGCTGTTCACAAGAGCATTCCATCTCTAACCTTTCCACTTTTTGTTGAGTGCTACTACTGCAGTCCTGGCATTTCTTCTACTACCTATAAAATATAAATACTACTAGTACTAAAAAGAAGCACAGTTGCCAAACAACTGCAACCCCCCATGTACAACTAATATCAGTTTGTCAATGCAAAACCAATGAAATCAAAACTGGAACAAAAGAATGGGTGAGTTTTTCTTCTAGTATTTTCCCAATTTTTTCCTTCTCTCCCTCCAAATTGTCTCCATACTGATATCTACTACTACTACTACTACTACTACTACTACTACTACTACTACTACTACTACTACTACTACTACTACTACTACTACTACTAATAGTAGTAGTAGTAGTAGCAGTAGTAGCAGCAGTTGTAGTACTAACAGCGGTACTACTAGCAGTGACATGACTAGTCCTTCTTTTGCTTCAGGAATGCAATGATTCATTCTCAGAGGATGCCAGGACTGCTTAGTATACTACTACTTTTACTACTAGTACTACTGCAACTAGAGCTACCATTCCAGCACAGAGTGCCAATAGTGAGAAAATGTCCCTTTCAAAATAGTAAGCGCAGCATTCCCCTGCCTGCTGTACTAGTAGTAGTAGCTTGATATTTGTTTTTTAGTACTCCCTTCCTGTCCCAGCCTTCTCAAAAGTTTTAGCAATTGTGATAAAATAATTCATCTCAAGGAATATTATTGTACCTTTGAAATCATCATACTTCCAGTGCAATACAAGCAGTGCTAGTTGTTTTACTAGTAGTACAATAAAAACTATGACCATAGACTTACTGAAAACGTCCTGATAAAAATAATCGTGCAAGAATGTTCCTTGCACATGGGCTTGGATTTTGATAAAAAAAATCGCGCAAGAAAGTTCCTCTCTCAATGGCGAGAACATTTCGTTTTCGCCTAAATCTGAAGCTTAACAAACTAAATACAGTAACGTTTTATGTAGACCGTCTCACTAGCTTTTTAAAATCTAATCGTAGACAACCAAAATCCGCAGCAATGAATCGTACGGTAAAAAGGTTCAGTCGAACAATAGAATCCATCCTTACATCGAGTACCAATGTTAGGAAGCAGTTCGGTGGAAATGCCACCACGGGCGATCGAGGATAGCCCAATGATTGGTATTGCTCCTAATGCGTGAAATGCGATCCGATAGTAAATAAAACATCCGTGTTTCGTGGCTTCTCGGTGACATATCTAGACGTCCATCCACGTAGATCCATTTCAGTTGGCACTGCAACAAAGATTGGCTACCACATGGATTGTTGAGAGAGGACCAATCTTTTACGTATGGGTCCGTTGTTGCTTATGCCCCACTTTCAAACACTGCTCTCAACAGAATCACATCGTGTGGAATGGCTGTTCAAACAATTTTTCGTCACGAAACGAAGACGATGAGGTAACGAACACGATCGTTCCAACAACGCCCTCAATGCAATCCAACCAACGAACACTAGCTGCCAATGCACCGAACAAGCATGCACAACGTTTTTTGCGTTGTTTGCCTTGACCGGACTGCATGTATCTTCTCAAGTTTTGAAACAGGTTCAATCCATTGATCGCTTTGTAAATGCCATAACATTTCTCACCTCTCACATTCTGTTCGTTGTCATCCGCCATGAAAACCATCGTCTTCTTGATCTTGTTTGCATCGCTCTCGCCACCAGCGTTTGTCGAGTCCGATCCCGAGCTCCCGTGTGAGCCGGTGATCGGCGACGAAGGGCATTGTGCTCCAGCCTGTTACTGCATCCCTGACGATCCAGGCCGTTGCAATGCTTGCCCCGGTGTCGGGAACAGGCAATTCGCGTACCTGAGCGGAAGCTCCGAGGTGTTCTTTGCCGGGTTAGAGGTGGAGGAAGCGTCCGTGTTCCGGCTCGACCCGGCGGGGTGCAACCCCTTCCCGGCCGTTGCCTCCGTGCTCAACCAAACCCTTTGCTCGGGGGTCACGACCGCCGGCAAGGGCGGAGGGACCGAAACGAAAACAAAAGCCGTTGGCGACGACGGCAACGGTGATATTGCAAACGGTCCGGTCCGGTGTGTCTTTGAGTACAAGCGCTCCAAGAAGGGGAAATCGGAGGGCGATCGCAGGCGATACAGCATCCTCGAGGAACCGGCACCGTTCAAGACGACCAAGAAGAAGTCGAAGAAGAACCCAAAGGCAGCGAAACGCGATGCCGTTCTTACGCACGTAGGAAGCTGTGGGGTCTGCAGCAGCGCACAAGACCTGGCGGTCAACCTTTCGCCGACCCTCGACGTGGACGCGCTAAGCTGCACCACCAAGGCGAGCGAGGAGCTGCTGGCGGACACAACGGTCGAAACCGCCTTTGCCGGCCTCGTTGGCTGCTTCGACGCGGTGGGGTTTTCGAGGGATTGCTCGGTTCTGTGGTCGAGCCACGCCCTGAACACCATCCTGGCCCTCGTTGCGGCGTATCAGTCTTCCAACGGCGGAACGGCATTCGTCGGGCCACAGAGCTGCACGGAATGCGCAGAGACCTGCGTTACGGACCCGTCGTCTCCAGTATGGTAAGAACGAATGCTCGTTTCGGTGGAGGCGATCGACCCCTGCCCGCAGATTCTAATGGTTCTCTTTTTCTTTGCCACTGCCGCTTTGTGTCCTCCCCGCCGCATCATTCGTGTCCCCTCTCATCGGACATCGCAGCTCCTGGTGGCTGTCGCCCGACACCTGCGAGCCTTCTCCCTGCGTGGCCTGCGACGAAGCAGTGAGCGGCCCGGCGTTCGAGGCGTACGGCGGCCGGACCCGCCGCAACAGCGGCATCGTCACGACCTTCCCGGACATTCCCGGCTTTGAGGGGACCAAGCGCTTGTGCTCCACGATTGCCGACATCGGTCAAGCCCTTCCCTGAACAGCCTCTCGGAGAGACGCCTGCATCCTTGGCATTCCGTGCTTCTGTGCGGTTTCGTTCCGTTTCGCCCGCGTTTCTCGCAGGCACAAGCGAATGGAGTCTTCTCGCAAAGAGAACCATTTTCGTTTTCAAACCGGTGTTTCGTGTCCTAACCCGGGATCCCCATGGTACAGCATGGGTGTTCTGCGTAAATTTGCTTTCAATATTTTATTAGATTCAACATCAAACAACACTCAGTCGCCGTAGAACCAATCACTAAATCCCAAACCCAATTGTTTCATTACAATGCTAGTTTATCGAAACCGAATCGGGACGAGCCTGCGTTGCGTTCGATGCGTGCATTGCGTTCTGATGGTATCGATCGCTCCGCGGCGGCGCCGCCGTCGTTGTCTGTCTGACGGTCTGTTTTCTTGCTTGGTAGCTAGCTTGGTAGCTAGTGCAGTGCAGTGGGGTGCGGCTGCTACCACTAGCGCGGCAAAGGGTCGTGTGGGGCAAAGGCCCCCCCGTCCCACACCATGCGCTTATCGACGGTCTGGTACCGCTGGATGCGGCGCTTCCGGGAGGCCTCCCGCTCGGAGAGTGCGTGGCCGATCCATTCCTCCCCGCCGACGCCCCAGGCCTCCATCTCGGCCACGTCGAAATAATACAGGGCCTCCGCAAAGGCATTGGAATCGTTTTCGTCGCCGCCGCAATGGGCAAAGAGGTCCCCGTCGAGGGTGGAGCGGTCCGGGTCGTAGGCCAGGCAGCGGCAGCCCTCGAGGGTCTCCGTCAGGTGGAACCGGGGCCGCGAGGGCCTCCCGCCGACGCCAATCCCGTGGACGAAGGCGGTCGGGCAAGAATTCTTCGCACGGGCCCTCCCGGGCCCGGTCGACGGGAAGCAGTACATGTACCTCCCGCCGCTGCCGCTGTCCTTGCCGCTGCCTTCCGTGGGCCTCGCGGGAAAGAACCGGACGCGGCGGCAGGCAGGCTCCGGTGCCCCCGAGCCGCCGCCGCCGCCCCGGACCGAGAACAAAAAGGCCCGGTCCGCGTCGCCGCCGATCTCGCCCCCGAAATACTCCTGGCCCTCCTCCCAGGGCGCCGTGGTGTAAAAGCCAATGGCGTCCGTAGTGGCGGCGGGCGGGGGCCTCGTTCCCGGGGACCCCTGGGCCGGAAGCACCGGGCGGAGCACCAGGAGGGTGGGCCCGTCGTAGCCCCTCAGCGCGTGCCACAGGTTCGGAAAGCCCAGGCCCTGCTCGTAGCTCGCGTACAGGCGCTTCCAGGGGGCCCGGCCCAGGACCTCCGGATCCCCCCCGCGCGGCGTGGGGTCCCCGGCAGCGTCGCCGGGCGCCAGGCCCGCGAGCTCTTCCAGCACGCCCCCGCTGCCGGAGGGGGGAGCAAAAAAGACGCTCCCCTGGCCGGCCAGCAGCTCCGTCGGCGTGGCGGGAGCGCCTTCCCCAAGGGCCCGCAGGCGCCTCCTCCGCTCCCGGACGCTTCCGTTCCGTGGCTGCAGCTGCAGCTGCTTTTGCTGGTCTTCCTTCTGCTGGCGCTTCTGCTCGTCCCCCCGGGCGAACTGCGAGGCCTGCCATTCCGCCAGCTCTTCCGGGGTCGGGTCCCACAGCGAGGACTCCTCGCTCCCGGCTTCCTTCGACGAAGACGGGGATCCGGTTTCGCCCCCGGTTCCGATCCCCAGCGTGCTCAGGTCGAGGTCGCCGAACTGGGCGCCCAGCCGGGCCATGAGTGCTTGGGCCTCGGCCTCCGCTGCCGCCACTCCCGCCCCCCTCGGTTCGACTCCTCCTGATTCGCCGGGGGCTTGCCCCCCCTCCTCCTCGCTCCCGGCTTTCTTCGACGAAGACGGGGATCCGGTGTCGCGTTCGCCTCCGGTTTCGCATTCGCCCCCGGTTCCGATCCCCAGCGTGCTCAGGTCGAGGTCACCGAACTGGGCGCCCAGCCGGGCCATGAGTGCTTGGGCCTCGGCCTCGGCCTCCGCCACCCTCGGTTCGACTCCTCCTCCCGCTTCGCCGGGGGCTTGGCCTCCCTCCGGGAAAGGCACCGCCGGATCGGAATCGGTGCCTCCGGACCGTTCCTGCGGCCGCTGCTGAGCCGGCACATTTGCTTCCCCCATGTGTGTGGTGCTGTTTCTGTTTCTGTTGCTGCTGTTGCTTCTCTTAAAGTTGCTACTGCTGCTGTAGCATGCTTTGTGTTGGGTCGTAAACGGTGATGCAAAACTCGAGGCACACCAATTTCAATTATGGAACTTGGGTACGAGTGGAGTACGTACTCGTAGTACGGAACGTCAAGTTGCGTCTCGTCTTTTCTCGTTTGAATGCGTTGGTGATTTGTAGAAGGTGGTGTATCCCTCGGTGGGATGTTGCTTTCAATCCTATCGCAAGATAACTTGTACTATCGAGTTTTCTTGGTATTATGAAGTTGCCATTTTTCCAATCGCAGGAGTATTTTGCGAATAGTATCACATACAGCGATACTTATGTACTGTGCCACTGGCCAACAGAAACAATTTCTGAGGATGCATTCCGGTATGTCGGTATGTACAGTACGATACTTAGTGTCCTTCGCGCACTACGTACATTGCACTACCAATCCCACCGGATTCGTACGAGTTCTACCTATCAGCTACGAGAGCTACGTACGAACGGTAGGAGCAGTAGCGTAGGAGCACCGTCCAGTGTAAAGCACTGAAGGTACGGTACATACTACATACCGTCCTCCGCAAAGCTTCTGGACTCTGGACACAATTGTCAACTGTGCATCAACAACCACCGGAGAACAAAACGGAAACGAAACGAAACGAAACAAACACACCTTCCCCTCGGTTCCACGAGCAACCAACCAACCAAACACCGCGACAAACCGCAGCGGTGCTTGTTCGCCCGATAGCCAAGAAATCGACGAGACGACGACGACGACGATTACAACAACAACGATTGCTGCTGCTGTCCCGTCCATTGGATTGGATTGGATTTCATTTCATTGCATTGCATTGGATTGGATTGGATTGGATTCCGTTCGATTCGGTCTCCAACAATCTCCTCGGCCGGCGAGGCATCGTGATCGCAACAAGACATCTTCTCGACATTCCGCCGACAAATCGAATTTAAACAACACAACACAACGCAACGAGAACAAGAACTCAACCGAACACAACACAACACAACCGAACCATGTCCACGGTCGCACTAAAGGGGATCCTGTCGCACAACGAGACCAAGGGAGAATGGTCCTGGAGTGGCCGGTGGGTCTTTGGAGACTGCGTGCCCGAGCTTGATCCAGAACCGACCGACCCAAAGAGCAGCACCACCACCCACCAAAAAACCGCTCCTTCCTCCTCCCAGCCCTTTTGGTACCGCTGGGTGGGTCCGGTGGCTCCATCGGGCGTAGCGGTGCCCTCGCTAAAGCACGAGCACGAGCGGCAGCCCGAAGAGGGAGCCGAAACCAGGCCGAAACCCCCTCCCTCCCGCGGGAATGCCAGCGGCGGTCCGGAGAACGCCCGCGGGCCAAGCGGCGCCGAACCAGAACGCCACGCCTCGCAGCATCCGGACGGAGCGGCCGCGTCCGAGCCCTCTTTGGTGGCACCCTTTCCCGAGACGGCGGGCGGTGGTTCCGAACCAAACGCAGAAGCAGCGGCAGCGACGAAAGCAGAAACGGCAACGGGGACGAAGGGTCACCAGGAAACTACCGGAAACAGCAGTGGCAATGGCACAGCGGGGGAGCAGCAACAACAGCAGCAACAACAACAGCAGCAGGAGCAGAGGAAGGAGCAAGGCCCCCCCGCCACCGGTCTTGCGGGAGCAGCTGCAGAAAAAGCGGCGACAACAACCAACGACGCTTTGGTGGCAAGGGGGCAAGCGGACGAAAGGACCGCCGGTAGCACTCCAATCACGGCGGCGGCTGCCGCCGAGGGTCCCTCGAAGAGCACAAAAAAAACACCGGACGCGACACCACCAGAGCCTCCCGGTGCCTCCTCGTCGTCGTCTTCTCCCCCAACGATCCCGGGGGCCGGCGACAAGGCCCGCAGCGAGTCGATCCATCGGTCGTCGCCCCCCGCGGCGACCGAACCACCGGCAAAGGCAGACGCAGACGCAGACGCAGATGCCCGCCAGCACCAACCACCCCACGGCGAGACCCGCACGGAGCCTCCCCCGCAGGGCGAGGCGCCCCCGCCCGGGGGGATGCTTCCCCCCGGGACGGTCACCTTTGCCACGATCATGCCGGGCTTTCTCGAGGCGTCGTCCCTGGGAACCGCCAACGCCAATACCGAAAGCAGAAGCACCCAACGAACCTCTCCCCTGCAATGCCCGGAGAGCGGCCGGTGGAGGGGGCACTTTGAGAACGCCGTGGCGGCCCCCCGCAAGCGATCCGCGGGCCGGAACAAGGCGCAGAAACAAAAGCACAAGCAGAAACAACAACAACAACAACAGCAGCAGCAGCAAAGGGAGGTCCAGAAGATCGACGAGGATTTTTGCCTCTTTCTGAACGCGGCCCCCTGCCCCCAGCCCGGGGCATTCGGAACGGGCGGGGAGGGCGGTGCCGATGCGAGTGCCGATGCGCGCACCGGGGAAGCTTCCGTGGACCTTTTTGCCTTTCCCAACACGACCAAAGACCACGTTCCCAGAATCCCGGGGCCCGCCACCGGTACCGCCTCGACTACGGAGGAATCCCAAGCCCGGCAGCAAGAGAAGCAACTACAGCAAGAGACACAACAACAACAGCAGCAGCAACCGAACCCCGGACCGGCCATCCCCCTGGTGCAGGTCCGGGGCTGCGGGGAGAACCGCTTCGGGACCTTCGAGATCGTCGGGTACCTCGACCCCAACACGATGGTGATGGAGATCCAGAGGCAGTACGTGGCCGTGGACCCGGCTCCGGCCTCCCCGCCGTCGAGCCGGCGGAGGCGGTCCCTCTCCCACCAGCAGGGCCAGCTCTCGTCCTCCGAGGGACCCCGGCCCCACTCCACCCGGAGGCGGAACCCCACCTGGAAGCGGGCCTCGTACCAGACCGAGGACGACCGCCGGCGGAAAAAGGCCCGACCGGGGCATTCGCCGTCCCTGTCGTCGTCGTCGTCCCCGCAGAACGGTGCCCCCGGACCGGCCGGATCCCCCCTCGCGTCTCCGGGCACCGCCGCCGGGTCCCCGCTGCGGTCCTCGGTTCCCTTTTCCCTGGAGCCGGCGATCCCCGGTGGCCCGGGCCACCCCCTTCCCCGGTCGTCGCTGGTCTCCGGCAGCGGCCCGGAACGGGCGGTGCTTTCGTCGTCGTCGTTGTCGCACCCGCATTCGCATTCGTCGGCTGCGGGCAGGAAGGGGGGGAAGTCTTCCACCAAGTCGAGGCTCGTGCTGCCGACCCAGTCAAACGTTGCGGCATCCTCCCAGTCCCAGGTTTCGCTCCTCTCGGGCGGCGGCAGGGGAAGCAAGAAACGAGCGGCCCCGGAGGGCCTCGTCCGTGCCAAGAAGCGCTCCCCGGGAAAGGCTTCTTCCGCCACGGGTGGACCGGCACCGTCCTCCTCGGCGAAAAACGGCTCGGCCTACATCCACCTGCCCCACGTGGGGGATCCCAAGAAGGCCCGCTGGAGGGCCGCCCATTTTTTGTACTACCAGCGCGAGGACCCGGACCAGCAGCCGCCTCCGTCGCAGCCGCAATCCGGCAGCAACAACCACAATAGCAACAACAGCAACAGCGGTAACCATCCCGCAAGCAGAGAAAGCGGCGGCGGCAACGGGGGCAAGAAGCAGGGTGGCGACGGCGACGAACCCCACGGCGGCTCCCGCAGCAAGCCCAGGTACGTCGTCTACGAGGGGGAAATGGTCGACGGCAAGCGCGAGGGCCGCGGGATCTGCCTCTTTTCGGACGGAACACTGTACGAGGGGGAGTGGAAGCGCAACAAGGAGCACGGATACGGGACGCTGACGACCTCGGACCGGACCCGGACGATCTACGAGGGGGAGTGGGAGCGCGGACGCATGCAGGGAAAGGGGGTGTACTACTACGGGTCGTCCGACCCCCAAAACCCGGGGCCGAGGTACGCTGGCGAGTTCCGGGAAAACCTCCGGTACGGTTCGGGGACCTACTTTTTGCCGGACGGGTCGGTGTACGACGGGCAGTGGAGGGACGGCGTCATGAACGGCCACGGGCTCTTCACCTGGCCGGACCAGAGCCTGTACGACGGGGCCTGGAAGGACGGGAAGCGTCACGGACAGGGCCTGCTGAAAAAGGCGGACGGCTTTTTGTACGACGGTCAGTGGGTGAACAACACGATGGAGGGCCGCGGGTCGGCCGTCTACCCCAACGGCCAGAAGTACGAGGGGTCCTTCCACAAAGGGCGCCGCGAGGGCCGCGGGACCATCGTCTTTACCAACGGCGCCGTCTACGAGGGGAGGTTCCGCGACGACGCGGTCGACGGGCAGGGGACGATGAAAATGGCCCGGACCATCGTGGTGCCGAGGGAGAAGGGCCGTTCCGGCGGATCGGAGAACGAGAGCCCGCGATCGCCGGCGACGGCGACGTCCGGGGGAACCGGCGAGAAGCAAGACTTTATGATCCCCATTTCGTTCCAGAGCGACATGACGCGGATCTTGACCAAGACGGGGTTCATGTGACGGAGCTTGCGGATGGATGGATTGATGGTATGGGATGCGATGGAATGAATATCTGCCGTGCATGGAGCGATTGAACCCTTCGTGGTCGAGTGGACGGTTGCCCAACCGCGTAGCACAGAAGCCGGGGCGTGGTACGGAAGGTTTCGGAAAGCAATCGTTCGAAGACAGGTGTGCAACAAAAAATACCGGGAATTCGATTTTTTGGGAATCCGTCGTTGTGAGCCTAACAAACGCAGAACACTTAAATCACGAGTGAGTAGTGAGTAACTCTGTCGTAACCCACGGGCGATGCGACACTACGAGTATGTACTATGTACGGTACAGTATGCTTTGTATTATGCATACGTACCGGTACGTACGTATTAAGTACTCGCCGAGTACAGTACTCGAAGTATGTAACAAACATATGTATCATATCATACACGATATTTAGTTCGTCCACGGTTTTTCCGAAAACTACGAGTAGGTTACCCCACTTCGTGATAGTAACCGTACTTTTACATACCCATACTGCAGTCTGTAGTACTTCTACCTTCGTACAATACGGTACAATAGTCTACCATGCGTTACTGCCTCTAAAAAGAATCGGAATCCATCCCAATCTGTCCTCCTTTCACTGACGAACGACGAGGTCGACGATGTCCAGAAACTGAACCAAGGGAACATTCTGCATTCAGTTTCCAATTTCTTGCAACGATCCACGCAGAAAGACGTTTGCATTCTTTTCGAGAGCGGGGAAGACTCCAGAAACGACATACTTCAAAGAACCAAATACAGCCTCCAAATCCAACGGATCCCAAACGATGCCGCTCGGAGACAGCAACGGCGGCGGCGAGACTGCGTGTTCGTCTTTGTGGTGGTGTGCCGCGGTTTCCCGCGCCATTTCGAACGACAGCGGGGATGGCCTGGTGGAAACCGCGCTGGTAGTTGGCGCAACAACGGTGGTTCTCGTCCTCTGGCTTCTGTCCGGAGGCAGGGGCAAGAAGAGCAGCAACAACGGCGGCACGGGCCACCACCACTACGCCGACATCCCCTGGGCCCCGGGAGGCCTCCCCCTCCTCGGACACGCCCTTTCCTACCAGAGGGACCCCTCGGGCTTTTTGCTGGGGGCCAGGGAAGCCTGTGGCGGGAGCTCTCTCTTTTGGGTCAACCTGGCGGGCCGGAGGATGGTCCTGGTCTGCGGGCCGGAAGAGCAGAGGCAGCTGGCGGGCCTCCCGGACTCGGTCCTATCGCTCAGGGAGGCGATCGCCGAGATTGGCTTCGAGCAGAGCCTGGGCCGCAAGAACGTCTACGAGGGCACCCAGATCCACAAGGGGATCGTCAAGGCCATCTGGAGCAGGGCCGCCAACGAAAAGAACAGCGACAGCGGCAACGAACAGAGGGGGCCTGCCGACCGGCAGCTGGTGGCCTGGCAGGACTCCATCCGGGGAGCTATGGAGAAGGAGCTGGCGGTAGCATCGAGCGCAGCAACAGCGGGCAGCGGCGTCAAGGTCGAGTTCCTCGGGTTCTTGCGGCGCGTCATGCTCCGGGCCTCGGTCGAGATGTTCCTCGGGAAAGCCTTCCTGGCGGGCTGGACGGGCTTTGACTTTCTGGAGGAATTCGTAGGCTTTCAGGACACGCTGGAAGACGTCACCGCCAAGGCGGCGGTCCTGCCGAGGTGGTTCGCCCTGGTGGCCCTGCTGTGGCCGCTGGGCCGGAAGCGGGAAACCCTGCAGCGCGTCATCGAGAAGCGCCTGGAGGCCGTCCTGGGCATGGACGGTGACAATGACGCTGGCTTTTGGCTGGAAGCGGTGCTGGCCCAGGGGGTCCCGGTCTCCGACGTGGCCGAGTTTGTGGTGGGCCTGCTCTTTGCGGCCCACAAGAATCCCGCCATCGGGGCGGCCCAGACCTACCTGCTCCTGAGGGAACACGGCTCGGAGGAGGTCCTGGAACGGTGCAGAAGCGAGGCCGAGGCGCTCCTGTCGGAAACCGATCCGGTCCCCTGGTCCGGATTGGGGGAGGCCCTCCCGACGCTGCGGAGGGCGTGCCTCGAGAGCCTGCGGCTGACGGCTCATTCCATCGGTGGCATCCGCAAGGCACAGAGGGACATCACGGTCACCGTATCCGCGGAGAAGGGGGACCAGCTCCTCAGAAACGAAGCGGCAGCGGCAGCGAAAACAATCACCTACCAGATTTCCAGGGGCACAACGGTGGGCTTTGCCCACACCACGTCCAGCCTGGATCCGTCGATTTGGGGGGCCGACGCGGCGCGCTTCGACGCGGGCCTGGACCGCTACCCGGAGGACAAGTACCAGGACGACTATTCGTTCACCACCTTTTCGAACGGGACGCACAGGTGCCCCGGCCGGGTCCTGGCGATGGTCCAACTCCAGCTGGCCAACGCCCTCCTGCTGGCGGAGTACGAGGTGGAGCTGCCGGAAACCCTGCCGGCCCTGGACTTTGAGCGTGCCACCCTCGCGCAGCGGGAAGGGCCCGTCCTGGTGTCCATTACGAAGCGGACCCGAACCTAGGCCATCGATCTAATCTCCCGAATCGGTTGCCGGGGTGAATGGGGGGTTGAGATCAACAAAGCCTTAAAACACCCAATGACTCGGCGCTCGTCGACGTCTTTCGTTCTGATCAGCACCCTATAGTACGGAATTTAGTTTCTCTGCTCGTAGCTCACAAGCACTAAAATGCTGTCTGTGGCTTCGCCAGGCCATATCGCTGCTCTCCCCAACCAATCGCTTCAAAATGAAGCGGAATACAGGGCAAAAGCTGTTTGACCACCGATTCGGTGGAACGGTACAGCAGGTCACAAAGCACGGTATTGTCGGGTGCTGGACACACAAAGGAAACAAAAGTGTGTGCTTGCTTCGTCCAATGCACTGTGCGATAGAGGTAGACCCCAATGAGAGTTTGTAACGGAAATTTATTCTGCTATTCTACTATTGCATTTTACTTCAATGATGAACTATGTTGTATCGTCCTGTGCTGTACGAAAGATGCAACCCCATGTGACTCTCGTTTTCCTCCGTGTCGCACAACATGTCCAGGCTTGTTGCGAGTCTTTTTCTCGAGGTTCCGTAGCGTTTCGCTTCGCTGCATCCCGCGTCGTTTCTGTTTTCAAGGGCTGTGGGTGCTTATGCATGTTGTTGCTGCTAGCACCTCCAGGATTGTGGCTGCAATTCGTCTTGATGCCGCAAACCTTCTTGCTGCGGCTAGTGTTCCTGCCGGATCTCTGTCTTCTCCCTCCCGTGCAGCCACACAAAGTAGGGTGCCTGCAGCAGAAGGGCGCCGACCAGACCCACCATCACCGCCACGTGGTTGCCGGCAGCGGTCCTTGCGATCAGGGGGTACTGCAGCAGGCTCGCGATCGCCGACAGAAGGAGGCCGAGGCCGGCAAGGGTCCCGTAGTTTGCGTAGCCGAAGCGCTTTCCGCAGTTGGTAAAGTAGAGGCCAAAGACCCCCATCCGGCCGATCCCGTAGGCCGAGAGGCCCGCCACCGAAACGGCCCCGCCGAGGGGGCAGCAGCCGGGAGCGGCCCCCTCGGCTCCCCCCATGGCCAGGACGGCCACCGAGGAGGCCACCAGGAGGGTCGCCAGCGCCTGGGCGATCCCGAGGCCGAAGCGGTCGGCGATCCAGCCGGCAAGGGGGGCCGTGGCGGCGGCCCCGGCGAAGCAGTAGGCAAAGAGGTCGGTGTAAAAGCCGGTGTCGTCCCCCATCGCCTCGAGCCGGAGGCCGATGACCCCGATGTAGTACTGCATGGGGACGATCGTGACCGAGAACCAGGCGCAGAGGAGCACATACTCGGCGGTGGCCATTTGCTGCAGGGCCGTTGTCGTTTCTGGTCCGTGGCGGCTGGAATCGCCGTCGTCGCTTTCGTCGTCGACGTCTGCCGCCGCGGGATGTCCCTCGGATGCAAATCCCGATTCCGGATCTGTCCCCGGCTCGTTGGTTTTGGTTGAAACGACTTCGACCTTTCCGCCATCGTCTTCCAGCTGTTCGAGCCCGTTGCCGGGAGCATCTTCCCCGTCGTCCTCGAGTCGTGATCCAACTTTGTTGTCGCGGTCGCAGTCGCTCTTGGCTTTTTCTCTATCCACGTGTCCTCTCTTCCCCTTCACCTTCCCACTATCTTTGTTGGTGTGTTCTGTTTCGTTTTTGCCATCGAGCCAATTCTCGCCTTCACCTTCAACTTCGCCTTGAAGCCCACCCACATCCGCGTCGCCTTCTGCCTCCGCAAAGTCTTTGTCGCTGTTGGTTCTTTGCAGAGGCACCACAAACGTGCCGGTGGCCGGCAGCAGCAGCACGGACACCACCGCCAGCCCGAGGAGGCAGCCCGCAAAGATCCCAAAGGAGCGGTAGCCAAGGCCCTCCCCGCCACGGGTCAGCACCAGAAAGCCCAGGCCCGAGATCTGAAAGGCCCCCGACAGGGTAGAGAGGACGACCCCCGTGTGCCTCGGAAAGAGCCCCGCCACCGGCTGGAGGCAGAGCTGTCCCCCCGATCCGAGTCCGATGGCAAAGAGCGAGGCCGCCAGCAGCCAAACCGCCCCGGAGCCCTGCTGCTGTTGCTGTCTCTGTTGTTGTAGCCAGCGGAAGACAACCCCCACGCCGATCGATCCGGCCGCGCAGGCCACCAGCGAAAAGGCGGTGGTGGCCCTGGTCCCGAAGCGGTCCCTGGCCAGGCCGAGAAAGAAGCGTCCCCCCTGCGTCGACCAGGAGCCGAGTGTGTAGACGGCGGCCAGGCGCTTCTCCGTGAGTCCACCGGGGGCTGGGGCCCGGGAGTCGTCGTGGCTCTCGTTCTCGCCATCGGTCGTCGCCGCTGCCACCTCCAGGAGCTTCCCCCGGAGGGCCGGCCAGCCGTAGACTAGGCCGGACGAGACCGAGACGACCACCAGGGCCAGCGAGAGCAAAACCCAGCGCCTGTAGGTGTTTGCGTACGCACGGGTGCATGGGGTCCGAGCGGTGGACGCCACGGTTGGCATGCTGCGCAGCTGAACGTGGTTGTTGTGTTTGGTTGCCGTTTTCCGTTTTCGATTTCTCTTTTCTGCTCGCTTTTTTGTTATGTTTGCTGTCTTATGTTTTTTAATTTCTTGTTTGATGTCTGTTTTGCTGTTTGGTATTTGTTCCTTGATACTTCTTGTTAGGAGTTCGATGTTTGCTGCTTACTGTTATCTGTTTGGTGTCTGCCGTCTTCTCTCTCGGCTCGAAACGATCAGACAAACAATTGCTGGTCGATGGAATGAACCAAACTGAACCAACCTAAAGCGAACCGAACCGGACCGCAATTCAATGAATCACGATGCAAAGGATATGGTGCGGAAGTTGGTTCTATTTTCTCGACGGCGTTTTAAAAAAAGAGCAAAGAAAGCACTCCATGGTGGAGTGGACTAAATCCTATCTCATGTTGATCAGAAGAATGATTTTGTTCGTTGATTTTGACGATTCTTCCGTCACGGAAAAATGTAAGGAGGATATACTGTACTTACTGTACATAAATAAGTAGGAAAGGTATGTTGATATAGGGTACTTAAGGAAACAGGAACGAGCACATACTTCGTACGATGTACGTACGTACGTTCGTAACTCTGAACAGTAAACAGTATGACCCCGATTCTGAACAGACCCGTGAAAATGGCGCGAACTTTACTCAGTTGCAAGCAACATACTTCTGCCGAGCGGAAGATCTGCATTGCAGACGCACAAGTGCGAAAACGTACTACGGTACGTACGGTTTCGTACGGTATCGTACGCCAGGTGTTGTATCGTACAAGCTCCAGCCTACTGTATGCCGTACAGTTATGGCACTCGTTTCCGTGCGGTAACTCGTATCGTACCGTAGGATAGCTCAGATCTACGCAACGGTACGTTACATAGTCGTCCTGTTTTCCCGGTGGAAGCCGCGAAAGCATAACCAAATTTTGTTCTGTCGACTTCGACCCGGTAACGACACAACCACGCAACACAATCCTCCCCGAGAGGAAAGGAACCTGCAAGCACGCTATTGACCACTACGGCGACGACACAAGATTGAACCGAGCAATTCCTTGCTCCGCAGAGTACCGCAAAGTGCCACAGAATACTGTTCCATAGAACATCCCATACGCCTTCCGTTGGCCTTCTGTAAGGACACCGAACATGCAGCAAGAACCGCAGTCTGTATCGCTGTCTCCTGTAGCAGCAGTTACAACAACAACGAGCACGGCGTCCACCGCAGCAGCCCCGTCGCCCTTCTTTTCCCTCGCCACGTGCTCCCCCCGGGAGCTGGCGGAGGCCCTGGTCCGCGAGCGGGGGAGGGAGGAGGCCGCAGCGATCCTCGGGGGGGCCTCCGGGTGGCTCGGTTCGCTCCCCCTGCCCGTCGCACCCGCCCGTGTGGCTTCCGGCCCCGTGTCCCCCGAACTTGCACAGGGGACAAAGCTCCTGGGCCGGCCGCTCCTGGAGGAAGCCGTCGAGGTGTCCGTCCTGTCGCCCCGGATGGGAAAGTTCCGGCTGGAGGTCCACGAGGACGGCCTGGTGGCCACCAAGGCCAGCGATCCGTCCGTATCCTTCTGCGTGGCGAGGGACCGGGCGTCCGGTCGAGGAAGCACCGCCGGGAGCTGCAGCCACGTCCTGGTCTTTCCCAAGCCGGAAGACTGCAAGAAAATCGTCTACAACCGCAAGCACGCCTGCCACTCCTCCTCCTCCTCGCTTTCGTCGAAGACCCCCAAGAAGGTGGGGGCCGCCCTGGTGGTCCTCCACCTCTCGGCCCCGCTGGAAATCCCCAAGCAGAAACGCCCGGCCACCCAGATCTGCTTCGGCCTTCCCACCGAGGCCAAGAAGGGGCCGATCGGGCCGGTCCCGGCGCAAGCCGGGACGAGTTCCGGAGACGATCCGGCGGGTGCGTGGGCGGGCCTCCTCGGGAGGGCCCTGGGGGGAACCCTGGTCAGGGTGCTGCAAGGAGACACCGGAGGCCAACCGTTCTTCGAGAGCCACAACCCGCCCGGGACGTCGACGACGACGGCGGGGATGCCCTTTGTCGGGTGCTACTCGGGGGTCAACGACGGGGTCCTCTTCCCCCTCGAAGAGGGCCTGCTCTTCTACAAGCCGCCGAGGTTTCTCCCCCGGGCCGTCCTCCACTCGATCGCCTGCGGCAGGGGGGGGAGTGGAAGCGATTCCTCGCGGTACGTCGACCTGGTGCTCAAGGTCACCGGGCAGGCTTCGGAAACGGCGGAAGGGGAGGCCTGCGTGGAAACCGTCGAGTTTACGAACATCCAGCGGGAGGAGACCGGGGTCCTCAACGACTACATCCACAACGTCTTGATCCCCGCCATGGCCTCCGATGCCGACAAGAAGAACCGAACCGACCACGACGACGATTGCGGCGGCGAGAGCAGCGGTGCCGAGGCGGCGGCAGCCGATGCCGCTGCCAGCGACGGCGAAACCACCGAGGAGGAAGCTAGCGGCGGCAAAGACGACGACGACGACGACGAGGACTTTTTGGGCCCCGAAACCGACGAGAGCGAGGACGAGGCCGATCGAGGCCGCGAGGGGTCCCCGTACCACTGCTACGGGGGGAACGACGGCGACGGAATCGCGGAGGTGGTCGCCGACGACTTTGCCGGGGAGCTGGTCCGGAACAAGCGGAAGAACAGCGGGGGGGACGGGTCCTCCTCGACCGAGAGCGAGGACGAAAGCGAAGGCGGGGGGGGCCGGCGGCCGCGCTCGTCGAAGCGGCTCTTCCGCAGGGGGGCATAACACAAAGCGCATCGTGGTGCCACCACAGAAATGGCAGGCACGCGGCAATCACAGAAATGGTAGTACAGTTCCTTATAACAATAGTGGTCAAAGTAAAAGTATAGTAGGATTCGATTCCATTCGATTCCATTCGATTCGATGCGGTGAGACTCGGTGCCCGTCGGTGCCTTGGCCTACGCATTCGCCTTGGCCCTTGCTTCCTTCTCCTTTTGTTTCCGGAGCATGACCTCGTTCCAGTGCTCGAACTTGCGCTGCTGGGCCTCCATCTTTTCCTCCTCCCGGCGGTTCAAAAAGCCGACCAGCCCGGAAGAGGCCCTTGCCTGCTGCGGCGGCCCCGCACCGACAATGTCCCTCGACGACAGCTGGCCGCTTCCGCCCGGGAGCTGCGGCCGAAAGGCCGGGTCCTGGGCTTCCAGCTCGGGCTCCATGTCCGCCGTTGCCCTGCGGGCCATCCTGGCCAGGCCTCCCAGGCCGTGGCTCATCTCGGCCTCCCTCGCCTCCCGGTAGTACAAGACGCGCCGGTCCTGCTCGTCGGCGATCTCGTCGGCGTCCATGCCCCTGTACTGGCCCAGCAGCTCGGGTATGTTGCTGTGGTTTTCCCTGGCGATCTCGATGAGAAAGGGGGTGATCCGCGCCAGGGTGTTGTCGGTCCGGTCGTTCGGGTCCGTGTAGGGCTTGACCCTGACCACGTTTTCGGGGTGGAACTGCACCTCGGCAAGGTCGTCGTCGATGACGATCATGCGGTTGATGTTCCGGTTGAGCTTGCTGAGGTCCTTGACGTGGACGCCGTTGTGGTAGTAGGTCCCGTCGCGGTAGATGCGGTGCATGATGCATCCCTGCTTGTCCAGCTCGTTGACGACCGGGTCGGCGATCCCGTCGATGGAGGGAGAGTAGAGGACGATTTCGTAGTACTGGGCCATGTCGAGCAGGAACTTGTCCACCCCCGGCCGCTTGGCGTGCCTCCACCCCCGCTTGCGGTCCCACGAGGAACTCACGAGGGTGTTTTCGAGGTCCAGCACCAGGGTGTGGGGTATGGGGATGTCGTGCGGGACGTTCGGCATCTGTGGTTGGGTTCGCGATTTGGTTTGTTTTGGTTTGGTTTGTGGCAATTTCCACATTGTCGAAGAACGCATCGCGCAACGAGGTGTTCCAAATTCACGGAGCAAGTGTGAGCAAAACGCAGCGCAAAATGAAATGAAATGAAATGCAATGAATCTACAACGGATCGACAATCAAAGAAGCATTTCGCTGCTGTGATAGAACAAAGGACCCTTCCTCGATCCATCGAATCATCGACCACAAAAGAAAGAAAACGACAAGGGAGAAACGAAACAGTCCTCCAGCACCCGAGGCAACCAAAGAACGCGACAGTGTCCATGTCCGCGTCTACGTCCACGTCCACGTCCGCGACAACATCCACCTACCTGGGACCAGTCCGGAAGGAGTTTTTCGTGGGCCGGCCTGGCAATGTCGTCGATGTATCCCTCGAGGAATCCGGTGAGGCCGATCCACCGGCTGAGCTTCGCGGGCGGGCTGTCCGGATCGCCGAATCCCCAGACCAGGATTCCCGACGGCACCAGGACGCTCGCGTACCAAAAGTACTTGTTGGCCATGGAGCGGCGGGAGGACGGGGAGGAGGACGACGGCGAGGGGCCGCCGGCCGCTCCCTCCCTGGCGAGAAACTCGGCCGCCCGCTCCTTTCGGGCGGCGCGGAGGGCCAGGCGTTCCGAGGCCGTGACGGGGGCCTTTGGCCGAAGAATCGAAGCGGCCCGGGGTTGTGCCCTTGCCGGGAGGGGGCTGTCCGAGAACCGGCGCATGAGCGTCTCGGAGCGGGGTTTCCCGGCCCGACCAAACCGCGAGGAGAGGCTCATCCAAAACCGCGGGTGACTCGATGCCATGGCTTTTGTTTCGTGTTCGTCCGTTCTCCTTCTTCTTCTTGTACTTCTTCTTGTGTACTGTATTTGCTGCCGATGCTGCTGTTGTGACAGTTCTTGTTGTTGTTGTTGTTGTTGTTGCAATCGGGCAGTTGTTGCGGTTGCTCCACTGCTTCTCGAGCGACGGTGCCGTGTCGTTTCTTTGCTGACGGGAGTGCTGCGATATTGTTTGGAGTGATTCTGCTTGGATTGTTCCCAGTCGAATCGGACAAGATGGATTGATTGAAGAGGTTCGTGTAGTACTTTACTCGTACTCGCAACTCTACAGTTCGAAGGTTTTCTGTTCCGTGTTGCCCTGCTCTGCCCTGCCTCGTTTTTGTGTTGTTGCGAAGTCCGAGGATCTTTTCTTTCCTATCGTACCATGCAAGACGGTTGAAAACGGCATAGTGCATACTCGTAGTCAATCGGGATCTGTGAGGCTAAATCCCGAGTAGCTAGTGAATAACCTCACTCCTCTATTGTAAACCACGTATTAACACGCAGTAAGGAGCATATCAACATTTGCAGGTTATAGTACGCCTAACGAACTGAACGTACTGTACGGTACGGTACTCGTACGTACGGAACGAAAGTGTCGAACTCGTCCTTCGTACCGTACGTACGTAGTCGCTACTCGTATATATTACTCGTACAGGTACGTTCTGCACGTTCATAGTTCATAGTCCATACCAAGGTACATACATATGTTCATACCCAAGTAGGTGGTACCTTTGTATCCAGTCAGCTACCTTCATACCTTACCCACATGGGATTTATGAATTACTTATGAATTATGACTCCGGATTACAGATATGGTTGGTTGAGGGGGACTGGAACTCATCTCGGGATTGATTGATGATTGATTTATTCTATCACAGAATCATAGAATACTACAGCCCTACGAAAGTATGTACTGTACTGTACTGTACTGTTCTGTACCGTACCGTACTGTACTGCACTGTACTGTACTTCTTGTACGCAGTCAGGCGTCCGGACCGTTGTTCCGAGTGATCCATGATCCGAGATTCGATTTTGGTATTTGGTATTCGATGGCGATCGTCGATTGAACGGAACAAAACCAAAGCCCGAAACAGATACGGCATCTTTGGAACGAGAGTACAATACAATACGGTACCGCAGTTGTCGTCCTTGCCCTGCCCTTCCTTCGCCATCACCGGCCGAGCAAGCGTTGTTCCGCTGCCGTTCTCGTACGGCCTCGAGACCGAGGGATAAGATGAATCCCCGCCGCTGCATCCGCGTGCCGTTTTGCGTGCCCCCTCGGTTCCGGCTCTCCCGAACCCCGACCAGCGGGTGCCGGAACCCCCCGCAGACCAAGCCATGGCCATCGCCCGCGGTCGCCACAAGGATTCTGTCCGCGTGTGCCCTCTCGGTGGCGGCATCGGCGTGGTGGTGGTGGTACGGCGATCGGTGTGTCTTTGCCAGAGGCAGCGAGGACGGCGGAAGCAGCAGCAGCAGCAGCAGCCGCCGCGGCGACAGGAATCGGTGCCACTCGGTGCCTATCGGAAGCCTCCCGGTTGCCGACCAGAAATCGATTGCTTCCGCCCGAAAGTGGAATGCTCCATGGCAAAAGATCGCGGAACATTCGGCAAGCACGTCGATGGTGGCAACGACGCACTGCTGCTCCGCCGAACACCGGAACGACGGGAAACCAAAACCGAAACCAAAACCGAAACATCGGGATCCACCGAGCGTCGGGATGAGCTGCGACACCTTTTTGCCCCACAACGAGATGAACGCCTACCTCCGGGAGACCTGCGACATCGAGGTCGCAATGGCCCGCGAAAGAATGGCGATCGAACTCCCGGGCCGATGGCGGTAAGAAAGCCACCCGAAAAAGGGGAGCCTCGGACAAAGGCCATCGTTGCGGGGCACCATCCTTAACGAGTGGAATCCCCGCGAGAGATACCGTAGTGCGGCAGCTCCGCACCGAGACGCGAAACGAAAACGCCTTCGGGAAACAGACCACAACAGGCACTCGCACGTGGTCCCTGTTGCCCGATTCTGGTTCCATTCCGTGGGCGGTGGGAAACCCATCCTGCAAGGCCACCACTGGTAAAACAAGCTATTCTTTGCTTGCAAGACCCTACTAGTTGGTGCGTTCGGTACATCGAGGCTACGGTAACGACGCGATGGGGGAAAAGGTTTATTCGACAACTCTTGTGCATGTGTTGTTCGGTGGATCCATAAAATTCCAATAGCCTTTTTTTCATTAAAAATTATATCTACGAGTCTAGTGGATACATCGTTGTTTCCGGTGCTCCTCGCACCGTAGTTCTTATTCCCATTGTCCCCACGAAATAGGCCTTGCACAAGCCCACGGCCAACGTGCCAAGCTAAGCCATGCCATGCGATGCCAAGCTTTGAAGTGCCTTGCCGGGCCGTGCCGTGCCTAAAAGTCCTCGTCCATGGAGAAGCAGTGGTTGTCCTCCGACGCCCCGCCGACGCCGCTCTTGGCGTATTCCCCGACGCGCTTCTCGAAAAAGTTGGTCTTTCCCTGCAGCGAGATCATCTCCATCCACTCAAAGGGGTTGGGGGTCTGGTAGTGCTTTGGGGCACCCAGGGCGACCAGCAGGCGGTCGGCGCAGAACTCGATGTACTGCTGCATGAGCTTCGAGTTCATGCCGATGAGCTCTACCGGGAGGGCGTCGCTGACGAATTCCTTTTCGATGTCGACGGCGTTGGTGACAATCTCCACGATGCGCTCGGGGGCGAGCTTGTTGACCAGCTTGTTGTAGAGCATGCAGGCAAAGTCGCAGTGGAGTCCCTCGTCGCGCGAGATGAGCTCGTTGGAAAAGGCCAGGCCGGGCATGAGGCCGCGCTTCTTGAGCCAAAAGATGGCGCAGAAGCTCCCCGAGAAAAAGATTCCCTCCACGACGCAAAAGGCGACGCACCGCTCCGCAAAGCTGGCCATTCCCGAGTCGCACCACTGGAGGGCCCAGCGGGCCTTTTTCCGCACGCAGGGGACCGTGTCGATGGCGTGGAGGAGACGGAGCTTCTCCTCGGAATCCTTGATGTACGTGTCGATGAGGAGCGAGTAGGTCTCCGAGTGGATGTTCTCCACCGCGATCTGGAAGCCGTAGAAGCAGCGTCCCTCGGGCGACTGGAGCTCGGTCATAAAGTTCTGTGCCAGGTTTTCGTTGACGATCCCGTCCGATGCCGCAAAGAAGGCCAGGATGTGGCTGATGAAGTGTCGCTCGTTGTCGGACAGCTTGACCCAATCGGCCATGTCCGAGCCGAGATCGATCTCTTCCGCGGTCCAGAAGGAGGCCTCGGCCTTTTTGTACATTTCCCACAGCTAAAGGGAAGGAGAGGAGAAGGGATGCGGTGGGTTGTGTGAGGTGGAGTGTGCGCAGAGCAGAGCAGAGCACAGAAGAGCAAGCAAACGGTGCGATGTTATTCCAGCGCAAGACAAGGGGCTGCACAATACCACACTACACTACATTACACTGCACTTCACTACACTGCACGAAACGATGGTACGTACGTCGTTGTCCTTGATGGGAAAGATCACAAAGCGGTGGGGGTTCTCCACCAGCAGTGGCTCGGGGGCGAGCTCCCCGCGTTCTTCCATGAGCTTGTGGTCGGTCTTGGCGACGAGGGAGGCCCCGCTGTCGCTCTTGCTTCCGCCGGCCAAAGATTCGGGGGTGGGAGCCGCCGGAAAGGACTCGGAAGCGCAGGTGTCGTCGTCCGATCCCACCGAATCCTGGTTGGACCTCGTCGAGCCGGGGTTCTTTGTGGGCGTCACAAAGGCGGGCGCCGTCTTTTCCGCGATCGGGCGGTCGTCGGTGGAAAGGGCGCCGAATTGCTGTTCGAGGGTGGTTGTGGGGACGGGCATGGTGTGTGGTGTTTGTTTGATTGTTTGATTCGTTGATTGATTGATTGATTGGTTGGTTGGTTGGGCTAGTGTGTGAGGGAGAGAGAGAGTTTGAATGTGWATGGCTCTATTCTATTCTGTGGTGCTTTGTTGTCCTCGGTTGTGCAGTTGTGGAATACTGAGATGGAGCGAGAGTGAACAAAGGTGTCGCATCGGCCGCCGAGCGAAAAAATTGCTGCTTCTTGGTGTTTGATAGTACGAGTACCGTACGGTATCGTACTGTATTTGATACCAGTTCGAACTCGTACCCGTACCAGAGCCGTGTTGCCAAGTGGCTGCAGTCAACCGTTCCAGGGAAAATGTCGCGCTGTGTCGGTGCTACGGAACAACAGCCGTACGTACGGTAGGTCTCCTCTGTGTACCAGAAGCCCCTACGATGCTCTACGTGGGAACCAAGAAGCAATGCCAGAAACGAGCCCGCGCGCCAGGATTTCTCCCGAATCCAGCGCAAAGAAATGGCGCGAACCCGATTTCCGCGACTACCACGTCAAAGCGAACGAAGAGAGACAATGGCTGTACCGTACGTACGGTACGTGCGTACTGAGTAAACGAGGATATACGCAAGCTTCCCTATTTCCGTACAGTAGCACGCACCAGGCACGCCACGATGACCTTGTTTGTCGCGGGGTTTTTTGCGCTGGTGATCCCCGAAGAACCTCCCTATCGGCACGAAGTTTCTCGAAAAAGACAAACCGGACAACGGCTGGTCTGGCTTGGAAACCATGCGTAAGATGTATCTACCATATGTATTCTTATTAGTACGTTCATACCCAGACAGGTATGTTCATACCCCCATGAGTACGTTCATACCCAGACAGGTATGTTCATACCCMCATGAGTACGTTCATACCCAGACAGRTATGTTCATACCCMCATGAGTACGTTCATACCCAGACAGRTATGTTCATACCCMCATGAGTAMGTTCATACCCAGACAGATATGTTCATACCCGCATGAGTACGTTCATACCCAGACAGATATGTTCATAATCGTTATGATCATAGAATTACATCATATGAGTACGTACGAGTAGGTACAAGACGTACGTACTTGTAGTATTATGATTATGAATTAGTATGTCTGATGGCTGATGACCTTGACCGTCGCGGTCTTTTTCTTTGCTTCGGCAATCACAAAATTCTGGCACAAAGTTTTGAAACTGAAAAAAACCATGGCGAAATTCGAAATTCGCATTTCATATTGGATTACTGTACACATCTGTGGGTTGTAGCTAGCAGCAGCCGAAGACGAGTTTCCTCGCACAAGTTTCATTCGTCCATACGTGTTTCATTATTTATACTACTACCTACACGGAACAATCAAAAACATTGCTACTACTACGGTACAAAGTACAGTAGTTGCGAATCCTACAGGAGCGTGCGCTCGTCGTTTTCAAAGACGATCGCTTGCGGGTTTCCCTCGCAAGGTCCGCTCCAAAGGGCGGAGCTTTCCCGCTCGGCAACCTCGTAGATTTTCTCCCCGGTCTCGGTTTTCGTCACGAGGAGTTCCTTCGGCTTTCTCACGACCCGGCTCTCGCGGGCGGCTCCCTCCTCTGCCTCTTCGTCTCGCTGCCGATGGACCTGCAGCTGCTGCAGCATTTGCTTCCTCTTGTGGCTCCTGCTCTGGTGGCGGGTCTTTCGGAGGTTGGTGTCGAAGTGGGAGGCGTCGACCGGACAACGTCCGCCCCTGTCGGTCCGGCCCTTTGCTCTTCCGAGGCATTCCCTCGTCCTCCGCTCGATCTCCCTCCCCATGCCGCCCGGGGGGGAGGCAACGGTTCCTTCCCCGCAAAAGACGCAGGCCGGATCGGCCCGGACGAACCGGCAGGCGTTGCAGAGACGGCCGGAAAAGGCCGAGGCCGGGGGAGCCGGGCCTCCCGGCCTCCCCAGGGTTTCCCCCGAGAACAGGCCGTCGGAGGCCCCCCGGAGCGGTCCTGGTTTCCCGCTCCGCCATCGGTGCCGAACCCACCACACCAGGAGGCCGGCCAGGGTCGATAACGCTGTCGCTGTTGCCACGACCACCACCGGGGCCACCGGAAGCAGGGGGGCCGCAGCGTCGGGTGGCCTCTTCCCGCCGGTCAGCAGCCCGGACAGGTCGAGGGCCTCCCCCCCGCAGCCTTTCTGCGACCGGAGGGCCCGCAAAAAGAAGGACGGGTCCGTGAGGTTCTCCCCGGCACCGGCACCGCACGAGAGGCTCCGGCAGTCCTTCCACGCCGAGGCTCCGATGGAGGTCCGGAGGGTCCCGGATCCCTTCGTCGAAGCGAGGCCGGCCCGGTAGCAGCAGTCCCGGGCCAGAAAGAGCTTCTCAAGGTCGCTCTCCTCGCTCCGGTCCAGCCCGTCGATCTCGTAGGAAGGGGGGATCCCCGAGGTCTCTCCCTCCAGGCCGGCGATCCAGCCCCCCTCGCAGGAGACGCCCTCCAGGGCCTCGCACGCCAAAACGTGGGCGGGATCGAGGCCGGAGGCCCTCGCGGCAGCCTCGTCCAGGACAAAGACGTTCCAGCCCCTCGAGAGGTAGGCCTCCGCGACCCGAAAGGGGTTCATGGTGGTCTCCGAGTGCTCGAGCCGCTGGTCGGCCCAGGCGTCCCCGCAGAGAAAGTCCTCGTAGGTGCCCGGGGAAGAACGCCCCAACCAGACCGAGGCCCATTCCCGGATCCGGGGGGTCCCGTAGACCAGGACGAGGGTGACGTCGCCGGAGCGGAGGCTCAGGTTTTCCATGAGCCGGTAGACCGTCTTGGGGGCGCGACCACCGGATTCCTCCGGGCCGACGCCGACGCCGAGAAAGCTCTCGGCCCCCAGAACGATCCCGCGGCCGGAATTCTTCCAGGCGTCGCGGATCCCGTCCATCAGCACCTGCTGGACGGGGCCGTCGGCGGTTTCCCGGAAGAGGAGGTCGAAAACACCGTGTCCGGAAGAATTCGAGGGTGCGAGTCCCCCGTTCCGCAGCGTTTCGAGTCCTCCCTCCCGGAGGGTCGGCCATTCCCACCCGGCAAGGCCGTTTGCGGTGTCCGGTTCCGCCGCGTTTCGGTAAAAGAACTCCCCGATCCCCGTTTGTTCTGCGCCGGCCACCAGAACCAGCTGCTTGTCTCTGGTTTCGTATGGTTCTTGCACAAGGCGCCTGTGAATCTTCGTGGTGTTGGTGATTGTGGTTGATGTTGTCGTTGTCGTTGTTGCCATCGTGTTGCGGCGCATTGTTGGAAAGAACGGAAGGATCCACACACATGGAATGGAATGGGTTCGAAGAACCAATCAACGAAGGATGATCTCCGGGAGGCGGAATGCTCCCTATTCCTCGCGGATCAGAGCGGTGCAAACACCAGTGGCCTCGCCATCCGAAATGCTTTAGGGAAGCGTCGTCCCTTGGCGCATCGCGGGGTGTGTGCCCTTCGAATTCTTTGGCTTCGTCGATGGGTTGCGTTCCGACTCGGAGAGGATAGGGGAAAAGGTCGCCATCTACTTGTATGTGGCTCCGGAGCGAGGGCGTGTTGCTGTTCTGTTGGGCATTCCTGCATTCTTGGATCCCCCTGGCCTACCGCGTGGCCCATGATAAGAATCTCATTTTTTTTCGACTTGCTTCATGTGACAGATCACGTGCCACACGCCCTGGGCGTTTCGTGCAGGATTCGTACGATTACGAGTGAGTAACAAATACTTCCTCCGTCCCCAATTAAATGTCCCTTTTTCTCCTTTACCACCGAAATAAGGTCATTATCTGGGCAATTGGAATGCTTCTTTTTGCACTTAATAGATCTATTATACTTTTATTCAATCATGGAGATTGAATATAGTCAATGTGTCTGACACACTTGCTATAGCTACTTAAAGAGACCCAATTTTAGCATATGATTTTCATTTTACCGGTTGAAAGGGTTTACCGGTCATTTAAAGACGCCACCAACAGCTACAGAAAGCCAGGAGGAGTGAGGAGAGCTTTATCACAGTATTCTTATCTTACTTATTGAGAAGGTTCCTATGCGGCCATTTCTTGTTTTTTGAAAGAGGTGCACCATACCATTGTCAAAATTTCATTTGCTGTGTTGTTAATAGTATGTGTAATTTTATGCCTGAAAATAATTTTTAATCACACGCATGCTTATTTCCACTTTGTTGTACTGATTCTACGCGTTCTACACAGTCACATTCAATCATATTCAATTTGGGGTTAAATGAAACTATTCATGAGTGTTAATTGAACTGGAGGACACTCTTTAGGGACAGCAAAAAAGCGCCATTGGTACATTTCATTGGGACAGATGAAGCAATGTGTAGAATTGAAAATTGTTGCTTTTAAGACTGATAATCTCTGGACTGAAGAATCAAGAAGTAGTGAGAAGTAGCCCTCATAGTTGTAGTACCAGTAGTACTAGTAGAAGTTTTTTACAGCAGCAATGAGGAGAGAACAAGAACAAGAAGAAAGACAACAAACACAACAATCCAGCGAAGAACAAGAGGAGGAAAACCAAGTGGACAGTATGAGAATACTAGTAATAAAAGAAAACTTGTGTTCCTTGGAGGCTTCTTCTTTTTGCTCTTCTTGTTCTTGGGATTTTTCCTAGTATTAATATTCAGACGAAACTTCTTGAAACTTCTTGTTCTGGCAATATGAACAAGGATCCCTGACGTATTGGAGGGAACTCATTCTTGTGCACCCTGCTTGTTGTTGTAGACAACAACTAGTACGAGTTTCTGGACCAATGTGAATAGTACTAGTAGTACCTGAACAAAAGGTTGCCTAATACCAGTACATTCCCGTTCCATTTCTTGCCATTCCGTGGGCCCTCTTGTACCCATGCGCACATCCCCCCTTTTCAAATTCCTCCCATAGAAAAATGTGGGTTATTTTTGGTGAAAAATGACCCATGTTTTAGAATCATGGGTTATTTCATGGGAAGAATCATAACCCACGTTTCTAAAACATGGGTTTTTAATTTGAAAAAGAACCCACAAATAACCCACAAATTTACAGTCATCTGGGTTGATGGAGAACCAAGGATATGAAGTGTTTTAGTCATTACGGTTATTTAATCACTGTTTTTAATTTTTGGAAAAAGGCCCAGCAGTAGGTTTGTGGGTTATTCGTGTAATTCATGGGTTAACCCAGCAGGAACAACACACGTTTTAAAACATGGGTTATTTTTTGTGACAAAATAACCCATGGTGTTTTAAAATCATGGGTTATTACTCTGAGGTAGTACAGACACCACAATCACAAGTAGCTAGTGAATAACCTCACTCTTTATTGTAAACCACGTGTTCATGTACACTAAGGAGCCTATCAACATTTCACAATTGCATGGGGAAAATAACCCACACTGTTTTATTTTATTTTATTTTATTTTATTTTATTTTATTTTATTTTATTTTATTTTATTTTATTTTATTTTATTTTATTTTATTTTATTTTATTTTANTATTTTATTTTATTTTATTTTATTTTATTTTATTTTATTTTATTTTATTTTATTTTATTTTATTTTATTTTATTTTATTTTATTTTATTTTATTTGAAAAAAAACACGAAATCATGCCCCCGATATTCGATTTCAAAGGGGGGACGCGCGCGCGTTGGTTCCGGAGGGCCCTGTACGAGAACTCGTACGAGAACTCGTACCACTGTAGAGTATCGTACGAGTACTATTGTCATTCCGTACCAACAAACAATACTTTACAAAATACAAAATACTGTACTACTTCTACTACAAAATACTGATGCGTTATGACCGAGTTTTCGCGATCCCTGGATGGCAGCCTTGTGCTTTTTTCGTCTTTTCTTTACGGTGCACCGCAAAACAGAATGCAAGCGAATCAAACGAAGCAAGCAGCGTACAGTAAACAACAATAGCAAAACAAAAGAAAGCAACAAGAAATCAACACGTTACGTTATAGCACAGCACAGTGCAAAGCAGCAAGGACAACGCAGCCAACCATATCCAGCCAACATCAAGCCGGAAAAGAATGCCCGGAAGCGTCGCTCTTCCCCACGGTCCATATTCGATTCTGGTCGTGGTCCTGGCCGTTTCGGGGTGGCTCTCCAGCCTGTGGGGGGGAGACGGGTGCAACTACGCCCTCGTGTCGGGTCCAATCGTCGATCAGCTTCACCCGTCGTACACCAAGGAGAATCCCGTCAAGGTTCTCCAGCTGGGCTTTGATTCGTACCGGGAACCGGTGCTGCCGGCACAAGAATCGGCATCCGAATCGGACTCAACATCGGAATCCGAGGCATCCAAGCCCCTGGCCAACGCGACGATCGGGAGCCTGCTGCCCGACTGGCTCACGAGCCGCAACAAAGACAAAGCAAGTGCCAACGCAACGGAACCGGGCGAAGTAACCACCGGGGGGGGAAGCACCGACGCATCAACCGCGGGCGCATGCACCGAATACCCCGAGCAGGTCACCCTCGGAATCGTCGACTCGAGTTGGAACACGGCCCGCGTCTTTTGCTTCCTAGGCCTCGTCCTGGGCGGGGGTGGGACGGCCTTTCTGGCCTGCAGTCTCTGCGTGGTGTTTTCTAGAGTCACCTGGCGGTGGACGGCCTACGAGCTGCTGGGGGCGGGCCTCTGCCAGACCGTCAGCCTCTGCGGCTGGTTTCGGACCCAGCTCTGTTCCTGGAACGACTGCTCGTTGAGCGAGGGATCGGTCTCGGACCTTCTCGCAACGGCCCTGTGGGTCGCCTGTGGCCTGCTGATGGTCGGCTTCTATCCCCCGGCGTCTTCCTCCCACGGCCAAGCCGTCGGAAGCGGCGATGCCAGGAGCCCCGGGAAGGCCCGCCACCGCTTTCGCTGCCTGGGAGGCAGCAGGGAGCCGGACCCCCGGGGGGAAGGGAATCCGTGCAACGGCCACGGCGACAATGACAGCGACAGCGACAGMCGCAACGAGGACAGGAACCCAAGCAGGAACGAAGACGAGCAGAGATACGATGAGAAGAGACGGTACCCTCTGGCAGAAATCGCCTGAAGGATCCGTGTGTTCTTGAATGCATGACCTAGCGAACCAGAGCGTACCATGGCACAAAACACACGTCGCATACCGCAAACAATCCCTGACCACGCTGAGAATTTTCTGTTGTGGTTCTCTCCCGAAGCCTTCGTCCGAGATGATGTGTTTTGTAAGATGAGCAGCAGTGACAAGATCGAGGCCACACCGTTCTTGGTCCAAAATCTTCGCAGTTTTCTCCGGATTCTTCATCAAACCACCCCGAACCAAACGAAGAACGGAACCGAGGTGAGGCAACGGCGGGTTTGGTCTCTAGAAACTCAAAAGACGATTAAAACCTGATGCAATCCAAAATCTTCCACTAGTAAGATCGCGCTATGAAAGAAAAAAAACAAGGCGTACGTATGCAACAACATCCGCCGTAACTAGTACCAAATATTAAAATGAACAAACAGAAATCGATACTTCCAAGAAGAATGAAAAACTATTAAAAATGAAAAACTACTGAAATTACAATCAATTACAACGTCGGTGTTGACTCCTCAAGTGTTGTTGTTATCTCTCGGTTTGGGGTGTGTCGTCCTTGGGGGCCTTAGTCGTTACCGGGGGCCTTAGTCGGCACCCGAGTTGGCACCCGAGTTGGCACCCGAGT